TCTTCTTCTTCTTCTCCTTCTTCTGTTTCTTCTTCTTCTCCTCTTCCACCTTGTACCTTTGAGAAGTGTCGAGCGGGGTACTCCTGTCAAATCCGGACGAAGAATAAAAAGCCTTGGACGACTTAGTCAGAGTTCTCTCCCTTGGGCGCACTGCGAACAGTGATCGGAAAAGCCAACGAAACAAAGAAGACAGTCACGTCGACATCAGGGCTGCCAATGCTTGGTTGTTTCCCCCAGATCTGGGTTTTTTTTTCGACGCTGCAGGACAATTCTGGGTTTTTTTTTTGGGTGTGTTTTGTTTGTTGGTTTTTGCCGATTTGTATGCTTTAATGATCGATAAATTTGCGTGGTTAGGGGTAGGGGTTAGGGTTAGGGAGTAGGATTAGGATTAGGGTTAGCGGTAGGGTTAGGTTTAGCGTTAGATTTGACAATTTTGACGCTTGATTTCCCTATAATCGCGCACAGTCCCATACACACACACAAACAATCGAGGGCCTCTGGATGCTGGTCAAACGCACAATTCGCCAACGATTGGGGGCACCAGCCGCACGCGATTGGCGTCATATTTGGCAGAGTTTCAGTGGCGCCACTCCCACAAACATTTGATTGTCGGCCAGTATTTCGAAATCCTACGTCAAAATTTTCACATCTAACCCTAACCCTAACCCTAACCCTACCCCTAACCCTAACCCTACCCCTAACCCTAACCCTAACCCTAACCCTACCCCTAACCCTAACCCTACCCCTAACCCTAACCCTAACCCTAACCCTACCCCTAACCCTACCCCTAACCCTAACCCTACCCCTAACCCTAACCCTACCCCTACCCCTACCCCTACCCCTAACCCTACCCCTAACCCTAACCCTAACCCAACCCCTAACCCTACCCCTACCCCTACCCCTAACTCTAACCCAACAACCGCATGATGATGACTACACAACCATTCACAATGCCTCACGAAACCGTACGCAGCCCTACACGCAACCGCAGGATGATAGGTAAGTGTGTCGTTTATTTCGTTTGTTTTCCGATTACTGTTCGGAGTGCGGCCAAGGGAGAGAACTCTGACTAACTCGTCAACGGCTGTTTATTCTTCGTCCGGATTTGACAGGAGAGCCGTCGAGCGGAGATGTAACATTCGTCGATGAGTTCTGCCAAGAGCACTATTAAGACTGATATTCATTTCTGCAAGGCTGTTCTTAACGCTATCACTCCATATTTTCCGAGGTCTTCCACTCGCTCTTTACCCGTTTTAACGTTTTAGTGTGGCTCGCTGTTGCAGATAGTACCAGGGCATTCTTGTTAGGTGTCCAAACTACTTAATTTGTGTTTTTCGATGATCAGTTGTTATCACGATTTTTAAACTGAATGGATCCGAATGACAAGCAGTATATAATAAAATGATTGTCAGGCTTGATTTAGATTTTCCTAAATATGTTGAGAAAATAGTGCTAGAAATTACAATAAGAAATTACAATATACGCTGTCTATATAGAATATAGACCCTGGGAACATATAGATTTTGATGTAGCTATATCTTCCAATTGTATGATAACACTAATAGACAGGTATCATGAACAACATTGGACATGTAAATAAAGAGGTGGAATATAAAAAGTCGTCTGCACATAAACACTAGGCAAGAACGGCGAACAAAGATATAAAGTTGCGTGTTTTAAGTCAGGAATTGACATCACAGCACTCGGGGCATTCCCTTGCGCGCTTCATCCTCATCTTTATCAGTCAACGCAGAGTTCCATTACTAACGGTGCCGGTTGTAATCTGGTTATGTGGCCGTCTTGACTTTCCTTTGAGTATGGTAAGCCGGCTAGACCCTCTAGTTAAACCCAGGTGCATCCGTCTCTCAAAGCCACAATAATCGTGTTTCTCGTCTGACTCGTCGTGTATCAATTCTCCACCCAGTTGTGTAGATTCAGTCAATCTGTCAATGTTCATTAAACACCACGCCGGCATTGCCTGGAGAAAAGATCCAAAGTATGCTCACTACCCGTGACCTTCCCGGAAAAACTTGCCACTCTGCTCAAAGCATTTCTGTCTTCACCTTTCCCAGCATGCTCTCAGAATCTGTTACAATTAAGATATGTGTATGCATCTTGTTCTCTAGCCACCGGAAAGCTGCAGTCACCGCCCCCACCTACACTATCATGCTAGATGTTGTGGTATCGTATGTAAGGCTGTCTTGTACTAAAGATTTTCCATTGGCTTTCGCTACGAATACCCATGCACTTCTCTTCAGACTTTTCTTCTGGTAATCGGACCCATTTCCCTCCTCGCCAAATGTTTTCCACCATGCACACTTGTCTTATTGTGTCTCTGTTTTAGCCATCCACGATTTTCCCCCTTTCAGCCTACGACCCTTAACTGCAGCCAAAGCTTCATACAGCGGGTGCTCTTTGTCTGCAGCTACTCTGAGGTATGACTTAGCCTGCATCACCTTTAGCCTGTCTGCAATAGTCGACAATGCAAGGATCCATCGCATGCACACAATCGGAGTGTCTCGTGTACATCCCAGGATCACCCGCATAGCTTCGTTTTGTATGCGCTTCAGTTTCTCTAGTTGACTCTTCGAGACAGTGAGTAATCCCGATCCATAATCAATCACTTGACTCTTCGAGACAGTGAGTAATCCCGATCCATAATCAATCACTGAGATGATTAAGTGCTGGTAAAGTGTGAACAGCATGTCCATCGCTGCCATAATCTTTAGTGCATGAAACCTTTCTGAGCCTCTTTCCCAACCTCCTCTATGTGATCCTTGAAAGACAAAGTGATACCCAAGTACCGCAGTCTGTTGTATCTTGTAATGTCCCTGCCATTTATTTTGAGTCTGGGAACATCCGCTCTAATAATCCTGTTGTTCAAAGTACACCACAGAACTGTTGCCCTTTGGGGGGAGGGGGGGGGGGGTAGATTACAGTATTTATCTCTGCACAGACTGACTGACTGACTTTCTACCCCACCAGGACATCACACAAGCGACAAACACCCGATGACACAAAGTGTTACCATGCGGATGAGGATCGCCGTGGAGAGGTCCCAGAAACCGCGTTCAGACAATTGGCCATATGTATGGCCTGCCTATATTGCGGCCCCTGGCAAAAGCCAGGGTAGGGCTTCAAATAACGAAAAATTTCGTCCTATTAAGGACGAAAAAGATATTAAAAATCTCTGCACACCAGTCGATCACCTTATCTACTGTCGCTTGTAACTCTTGAGCGATGTGATTTCAGTCTCTCCCTTTCTTATTTGCGAGAACATCATCTGTCAATTTTCTGCCAGCTCCAGATGTTTCCAGGATCGCAATCTTGCTCGTAAAGACATTTAACAGTACAAGTGAAATTACAGATTCTCATGATTGTGTGAAGAAAGCCAAAACAGCTGGGAAACATAATGAACATGCTTGAACACACAGACCACTAGAAATATATAATTGTGGTTGTATGTTAAAGCTTTAGAAGTGAAAATTTCAGACGAAACGAGAATAACAATAGGAGCAACAACAACAACAAAACCTACACTGTGTTGAACTAACAGCTGTATGAGGAGGTAGCAGCTACGATTGTTTACCATGCTGGAAAGCAAAAGTCAATTGAAACAAAAATGGGAAGTCCGTGAAACTGTTACACCAGAAAGACATGCGAGGACATTGCTGCTTAGACTTGCACTTGGCTGAAAGGAAACTGTTGCTCGCGTGATTGTAAGGCACCAGCAGATGTCGTAGCACTGGTGATTAAGGATTTTAAGGGGTTGAGTGGGGGGGGGGGGGGGGGCTGTTTGTATATGTTTAAGCGAGTCTGTGGGTGCGAGCCTGTGTATGATAAATGCAAGAAAGAATAACAGAATATTGCCGAACGAGATCAAAATGTTACAGATAATTCGGTTATTTTGAAATCTGGAAAAGGCAAACTATTGGTTCAAAATTCTATGAAAATGAAGATATTGAATTTACCAAGCAAAATAGTCACGCAGTCTAGATGGGAGAGGATGCAGATGCAAGAGATTATTTAACATGGTGATACGCAGAGCAAAACGGATTGGTTTCATCCAATACATAGCACATCCTGTTTAAAAACAACAGGGGGGAAATGATTGTTCTTAGATTAGAGCTATTTCATAAACCATCAAGTGCCTTGTCAGCTGGCGTAGGCGTACATGCGTCTCCACAGATCTCGGTCTTTGGTGTTCTGGATCAATTTCACCGATGCTATTACTCCATGCCACTGTCTTAAGCCATCTACCATCTTTTCTATTGCTATTTACTTGGACAGAAAATGAAACTAAAAAGTGGGGTTTATTAAAAGTTTCATTAGCAACAGAGAGCCGCTTAAATAACTACACACGAGAACGGAAAAAAACAACACATTGACCACATAGAAATATATTGCAGTCAATTTGAATGTGCACTGAAAAAAAAAAAGGGGGGGGGGGTTATGGCAAAACAGCTAGCAGACGTCAAAGATATAAATGGACAGACAATATGGTGGAGATAGAGAATAAACTCACACGGAGCAAGTACAGCAGGGATCTACCAGTCGTCAGTAGAAATTATCCTCGTCGACAAGTGTTTCGGCCCACGATTCCTAGACACTTTCGGAGGTGGGCCCACCTGAGTTCATGAAGCTCAGGGCTGGTACCCTGCTGCACGAAATTACCGGATGGTGTTTTCTTTCGGATATAACTGAATGTACAGCCGATGGCCTGGAAAGAAACTGACGAGGATCCAGTATTTATAACCTTTACTGCGATGATGTTTAGGAAGTCGACGATGATGATGATGATGCTATATATGTTAATGCTTACATTGTCTCTGGCCTCGCCTGAACAACTTTAAGATTTCCAAAAAAAAACTAAATTCATTTTGTCCCGATTTTATTTTATTTGTATGCACGTCGCAGTTTGATCCAATTTAGCATTTGTTTCTCCGTTAGTAACATTCCCATCTTCAGAGCTGCTTGCTGGCTAACACATTCAGATAAAGATGGCTGGCGATTTTGTACCAGAAGAAGAGCTAAATTTGAAAGGATTTCAGAAATATTTCAACAGCTACACGCTAAGGGGAAGATTCAATGTGAGTTTGTTTTTCATTCCATGTTTGGGCTGTTTAAATACAGGTTCTGCAAGCTGATATGTGTAGGAAGCTGGGGCTGAAACTACTGAACACAAGCGACGACCACCTCTCTGCTGTACATGAAGGGTATGCAAAAAGATATCATCATAACCTCAAACAGACGGTAGGAACAACATCATGCACCAAACTCATTGAGAAACAAAAGATCACATAGTTTGGTCATTTGGTAAGAAGGCAGACAGAACAACGACCAACGCAGGTGCTACACATGAAAAGATATGAAGTGAAAACAATAGGCAGCCAAATGAGAAGATAGAGTGATTACATTAAAACGCTTCTACATCGATTGGTATTGGTTATTTGCGTATCCATTACAGAACGTTGCAGAACCAACCCCAGCAGCCTCTGGCTGTTGTGTGGTTTCTCTAGGCAAATTTACGTCCAGTAGTTTGCCATTGCTTTCTGGACGGTTGGCACCCTGATACCACTGTCGAAACCAACGCAAGGCGCATGGCTCGCAGCTGAGATCGAACCGGGTACCCCGGCATTACGAAGAGTTGGCATCGACTTAGCCACAGAGCCGACTCTACATCAATACGAAATGATAATAGCAATCGCTGTTCTTCAAACAGTGGATCACAAACTGTTTCACCTCACAACGATTAACGACAGAAGGGGACACTGATGATGATGATCGTTTCCATCATAACCATTGGGTATCACTTTTAGGACATTATGTCCGAGTAGGACAAAGTGCGTGCTGCTTGAAACTCAGTTGACTAGAATCCGCTACACCATGTCGACTGCACGTGTATTTTATATGTGTTTTTATACAGCAGCATACGGATGTGAGTCGTTGGCTATCACCCCTTCCTTAAGAAAGAAAATAAGGACTTGTGAGCGAAAATTATGTACAAAAATTCTCCGAATACCAAGAACAAAGAAGAGAAGAAATACTGACAATTTGAATGATCCGGACGTCAAGGAAGATTGGCTTTTAAACAGCATCTTGCCTCGGGAACTGAAATATTTTGCTTTTCAAGCACCATGGTGGATTGTTAAAAAAATATTAGCAGAAGGCATGGTGCCAGGAAGCAGCAGCAGAAGCCGACCAACACGAAGATGTACACATGATATAAGTGAGTCCTTGAGTATGAAAGTACACGAGGCGGGAGAGCTGTCGAGAGACCGAGTTTCTTTCAGGCAGACCGTGATGGGAGTGACGTTATGCAAAAGAGCTGCTACATAATGAATGTGTGTGTATACATATATACATATACCTATATAAGTGTGTATATATATATGTGTGTATATATATATACATACATATACATATGTATATATATTTGCATATACATATATATGTATGTATATGTATACATATATATGTATTTGTATATATATATATATATATATATATATATATATATATATATATATATATATATATATATTTACATATATATACATATATATGTATATATATATATATATATATATATATATATATATATATATATATATATCTGATTGTTTCGCTCGTCCCCTCTACATTCATTCTAATTAATTGTACTCACCACATTTATCGCAATATTTGGCTATATGCCGTATTTTTAGTCTGCTATTGATATTATCGGCAATGATGAGCAATGATGAAGGATCCGTCGCCCTGGACAATCCAAAAGGTAGCTGCTAGTCCATGAGAGAAACACTCGTCGGTCAGTTGCAGTTGTAATCATGTGATTTAAGTACATATATATGTATGTGTGTGTATATATATATATATATATATATATATATATATATATATATATATATATATATATATATATATATATATATATATCCCCGTGTGGGTTCCGGGGCCCAATTGTGGATAAAACAAGAGTAGACCCACTGCCAGCACAAAACCATATCATAAGAGTCGACTAATTGGGAGCTTACTTCGAAGTCAGTGTAAATCTGCATGAGAGGCAGGGAACCAACAGTCTGCATGCAAATAAGTCAGACCTGTGAAACGGATGTGCACCCAAAAGTCGGGTTCTGGAACAGGGCTAGAGTCCAGAAGTGGACGAACAACTAGAACTTTCTGCCTGAGCTTACAGCATGCAAACGCGAAGAAGACGAAGAAGATAAAAAAAATATTTATATATCTTCTTTGACAGATTGTGGTTGCTACCTATAGCACGCTGTTTCTCATGATACTCCTGTACAAACTGAATCAACCACCGAAGAGAAATCTACCACAAAATAAACAAGCGAAATCTAAATCACCTGACGTGTCACCGAGGTGTACCCAGATTTCTAAATGTAACAAATGAAGAAGGCCCAAATGCTCACACTAGTGCCGTCATTTTGTGGAATTTTTGTATGGTCTCACGATACATTTTTAGTTAATGCCTAGTTCGTTTATTTATAGGGTAAAAACGCTTAGTATTTGAGCAGTTCAGTGGGTTACTGATCCATTTTAGTCAGTGATCTAGTTTTACAACCTAAATGTTTAACGACGCTTAGCAAAGTTATAAAGGCAATCTCATGGCATAAACTATCACTGGGTGGCCAGCTTCTTTCAAATTTGCTGTTCCTTCCCAGACAATTCCATGAAATTTGGGGAAATTATTAAGTACTCATTGTTAGGCGGGGTGGTCGATCTCACCGTAGTATTAGTCATGAAATCTTAGCGTAATTTCAAGTAAAGGCTGTACACTGATTCATTCCTGTTAAATATATTCCTCTCGTCATTTGTTGGTTGAAATTGGGAGGTACACACACCCGTTTACATGAGACAGGGGACAGGTCCAGGACAACAGGGAGATTTATTGTGAATTTGCACTTTTTTTTTTAAACGACTAATAATGAAGGGTGTTTCTTTCGTCGGAGTGCATGTGCCTGAGAGGCCAGGAACCAAAAGTCTGCTCACAAAAACAAAACAAAAACAGATCTTCCGAATGAGTGTGCACGCAAAACTCAAGTTCTGGAGCAAGATCAAAGTACCGAAGTGGACGAACAGCCAGAACTTTCCACTGGAGTTTACAGCCGGTGAACGCCAAGTAGAAAAAGAAGAATAGACAGTAAATCTCTGAAAGAGAAATAAAACAAATAATCTACGGTCTTACTAAACTAACACGCACTTTCGTAAATACAATAGACTTTAAAAAGTGAACTGTTTTAAAATGCAAGCTTAGAGCATCCAATAATTGCTTTAAAACAAACAATTAATGTAAAGAATATACTTGTCTAATACAGAAACTAGATAATTCAATATGCAAGAATCGCACAATGCACAGATTTAAGTAAAGACGGATAAAAAATATCTGCAAAGAACGATTAACGTGATTTGTACGGACTTTCTGAAATGCACATTTTAATGAAGGCGTTAATGTTTGACCCGCGGGCAACAAATATACAAATCTGAGCAGCAGTACGTGTATTTGACTTTATTAATTTTTTTAAACATTTTTTTTAAAGGTATGGTGTGGTCGTGTGCAGGTTCACAAAGAAGGGAAAAAGTAATTAAGATACAAATATTTAGGAAAACATGGCATATAAATTCAAAGTTAAAGACGTTTCAATTCCCTACAAGTCAAGTCTTTTCGGAAATTATTTTTGTATACCTTTTATCTCATATTTCCATGATCTTTTATACATCTACAGTAAAGATTTGTAGATAACCAACGCAACGTAATATGCTTCTGTGCCTATAGTTTGTAATTAAAGTCAAGATATTTTAATATTTACATAGTAAATTGAAATGTCGATCATCAAAAAATAAATAAATTATTGTTGAAGAAACTAATTTTGGGATTTCAAAAATAGTTCAGTTTATTCATTTCAGTTTCTATTTTCAAAGTTGTCTGAAGTGTGTCATTTGCTGTTTGTAGTTTCAACACTTGTGTTTCTTGTTCACTGACAATTTTAACATTGTATGGTCTGTCGGCACCAACATATGTGTTGAAAATCATTTTTGCAATGTGTTTTCCTTGCATATCGATGAGTTGACACCACTTTTAACCTCTTTCTGCAATAGCTCGTTTGACATGCATTTGTGTTACTAGAGAGCAGTGGCCAGATGTGCCTAACAATCAGGAGGTCTTGATTTCAGATACGCATGGAAACTGATTTTAATATAACTGGCTTCTAGGGTAATGGGAACAGGTGTGGTGTAACGGCTAGACACTGGCCTTTGGGCGTGAAGGCTGTAGGTGCAAATCCGCTTCGAGTCGGATTTTTTAAATGACCTTGTCACCCAGGTCGACTCAGCCGAAAGTGGTATTAAGCAAAGTAATGGGAAGTAAAGGCGGCCGTCGATAAGTAGACCACATCACCCGCTGGGTGTCAGTCGGTCTATAAAAGCATAGGTCTAGCAATATATGTCCAATGCGCCTAATGGTGTGGAAATGGTGCTCGGTTAATCCAGTCTAAAATAGGTAGCAGGAAATGATATTGATCCACTGGTCTCTGGCCTGATGCTAAAAACATTAGCGATCGAATTCAATTAATCAACAAATTGCTGCTCTAGCACCATATGCTTAATTCGCCTTTGGGGTAAAAATTATCTTTGTACCTATTCACTGTTGCAAGGGAAATGTTAAATTTTTCTGGATTATAACATTTCATTCAATAAATCAACGTTATTGGAGGTTAGGAAAAGTATTCTCGCATACTATATAGAGCCAGTTTCAACATACTGATATAAATCCTAGACATTTAATAAACAAGCCGAACAATTTCTTCAGGTCTCAAACAAGTGGACTTACAGAAGAAGCCTTATAGTTCTTTGGACAGATAAAAAGAGCAAGCCAGATGTTTTGAAACAGGCGAGGACTTGAAGACAACTTATCACAAACACCAGAAAGAGACAGTCATAATTTTTGGTCAGGTAATGAGAAGAGCAAAAGACAATCCCAATCAGCACAAAGCGACATCTTATTCAAAGCATATGTATTCCAACTCTGTGCTACCAGTGCCAGACATGGTCACTCACAACAAACCATAAAAGAAAATTAGTAACCACGGAAATGAGATGTCTGAGAAGGGCTGTAGGAGTGACTATAAGAGATAAGATCAGGAATGAGATCATAAGAGAAAAAGTCGGCACAGAACCAATTCTGGATTACATACGAAGACAGCAAGTGAAATGGTTTGCCCATTTAGAGAGAATGCCTTGTGACACCATACCATACAAAGCATACATGGAAAGAGAAGAAGGACGTAGAGCACGAGGTCGACCAAGAACAAGATGGAAGGATAACATCAGAGAAACTCTACAACAGCACGATGTGCCTATGGTCGAGGCGGCCAGAAGAGCTAGAAACAGAACCTTATATCTCCCTCGACACCCACAGCGGTAAAAGAGGAAGTGAAGAAGAATGAGAAGAGGGTTAATTGAACATGTTGTGATCACTGGAAAGATCTGGGGAAAGAGAGACAGATGGAGACAGCGCCAGAAGATTTTTGACAATCTTTTGTCATGGCATGTGGTTGGGAGTGGTGGGGGGGGGGGGGGCGTCAACACACAAACTAAGACACACAGTTGGGGATCGCAGACTGTGGACAGGTATGATCGCCCACTCCAATCGGCAAGGCGATGATGATGTTTATTAATTGCAAAAGTCCACAGGATCGACTTCATTGCACGGGGTTTTCTCCCATATTGCTCGATCTCTCTTGGCAGAACGGGCAATCGCCTGTCGAGAGCGTTGCACAGAGCACGAACTCCGTAGCACAGGCGACGATCCCCATGAATCTCCGTAAAAATTGCATTCGTGAACTGAACGGCGAGGCCAAGAAATGAACCCATCCCCTTAGAGCGCGAGGCAAACGGCTTGACCACATCACCACCGAAACCCTACGTTTCTCTACAATCAAAATTGTCAGTGCAATTTATAAATTCTTCTTAAGACGAAATTGTTCATTGTCCATTTTAAAAATCTTCATCATCGCACATCGAACATGACCATAATTGCTGCGATCTCCTCCTGTGTATGAATCAATTGTTTTATAGGCTAACAACTCCCGCATGGTTTTCCTGTCTCTCTACTCCAGTTGGTACACCCAGGGTGTGAAAAATCATTTTTTTCCACGAAAATGAAAGCCTTACAACGTTTAGTCTCTCGTATATTGTTAATGAGCGGCGTCCGTGGCTTAGGCGTTGCGAGTCCGACTCATAATCGCGATCGAAACCCACTGCTGGCTGCGTGGATTTTTATCATTGTATGGGGCGTTGCAGGTCGACCCAGCCTAAAATGGATACCAGGATGGGCTGTCCTGGGAAAGTAAAGACGGCCGGCGTAATGCTGACCTCATTACCCACCGATTGGTCTGTACAAATATGGGACGCTCTGCCCATATACCCGATGCGCCTAAGGGGTGAAAAGGGATCTTTACTTTTTTAACTTTTTTTTTATAGTATCGATGATGTCTCTCCTGTCTATGGATGACCCATTTGTGATAGTCGCATAAAGACGACATAAGACGATATACCACTCACAATCAACTATACTTTTAAATATACACTTTCTTTATTGCCCCAAAAGATAGGGATACTCAAACAGCGCAGTCAAAACATATTTTGATTTTGTTAATATATTCATATAGCAACAGAGATGTGGTTTCTGCGACGAATGTTACGAAAACCTTGGACGGCCAGACTAACTAAAAGCGATTACTTGAAAGAAGCTAATGAAAGTAGACCTCTATATACAACAATAAGAAAGAGACAAACACTGTTCTTTGGCCACATAATGAGAAGAGAGACATTGGAGAACATCGTGACACCTGGAAAGATCAGTGGAAAGAGGGGTAGAGGCAGACTGGATACTGGATGGGCTGAAACGATGCCATTGAGGGATATCATCAAGAGAGCTGTTTCTGGCAACCAGGGATGGTGATCTGTGAAGACGCAGGAGCGCCTACGCCAGTTGGCAGGGCACATGATGATGATGGTATATATATACTAGTATCCTAAATGTTTTATTTAAACAATTCACTCTCACGCCCTGTCACATTCTTTCTACCACTGAACACATGCAACTGGAATTTTCCAAATGTGAAAACATCCTGTGCATTTAGTTTATAGAACATGACATATAATTATCAAATGACGCCATGGCAACATTTAATATTCGTCATAGACATAGTCACTGCCCTCGTCAGGCTCGTCAGTGGCGTCCTCCAGCAGTCCTCTAGGAATGAACTCTGAAATATATGCAGGGGTTTTGTTTCGTGAAATTATAATGTACGTTTATTGACATTTATGAAAGATAAAGAAGGGTCAAGCAATGTCGAGGCGTGTGTGTAACAGCTGTAATAACCGCTTACACTTTACATTGACAAAGAACAATGCTTTATTTTCTTCTTATTCTTCAGAATTCTGAGCCCTTGAAGTTAATTGCTGCAGACATCACTCACCCGCCTCCACACATCTGTCTGGTTGGCCTTCTCTTTCCAGTTGTTGACACCAAGTGTTTGCAGGTCTGCCTGGACATTATCTTTCCATCGTCTTCTTGGTTTCCCTCGTGGTCTACGATCATTCACCTCCCTTGTGTATACAGTTTTTACTTCTCTGTCATCTGACATTCTTTCAATATGCCCCAACCATTTCAGTCTATTAGCTCCCATGATGCCAGTGATCAATGGTGATTTAAACAGATTGCATTATTTGCATTATTTTACTATTTATTATTACTGTTTACTATTTATTCAGTGGGTTTACATCTCGCCCAAAATCGAACGCTTCTTAAGAGCATTGTGATAGAGAAAAGGCGCGAAGTGCTTGCTTACGCTATTCATTAAAAATCACGTGAAAGCTACCAGTTATTACTTTTACGATGTTAGCTGCGCACGTACTCTTTCAAATGCGAAGCAAAGAAGAGAAAAATATGTGACACCCTCTCCAGTATAATCATTATAAGCTAACGATTACACGTGCGAGCTGACCACGCCTCGATATTGGTATCAAGTAAAGGACGCATGTTACTCTCGAGTCTGTAATTGGGCATACAGCGCTAGTGTACTGTTGTTTTAGACCAAATGACACTTGATGGGTGATTTGGCCAGCCTAGGGTAGCCATAATATCCTAAGCTGAAAACGGAACATCTCACTCTTGGGTTAAAGCGAGACATCACAAGCAAGTCAGTTTAACCCCACCGGGGTGAACGAGTCAATTACACACTCGATAATAGCAGTTGGAAATCGAAAAGAGTAGCCTAATGGCGCTTGCTGGGTACAATTTGGAGTAAAAAATCTAATTAAAGTATTTTAGGATTCTCGCCGGTGCTACAGAGCCTGTAGTAGTTACACTTATGGGTTACTACTAGTGTGCCATGATGTTGATCCGTTGTTCAAAATTTCAAACTTCAAACAATGGTATCAAAACGCGAACCATTATCCAAAAAAAAAAGCTCTTTAACAACAATAGAAGGGGGAAAAAAAAAGTAGGTCACACTGAAAATTTCCATCAACACAATTCATGTATTAAAAGTACCTTAAACTATGAGATCCAATAAGTTCCTCAGATATAACTATAAGTGAATGTTCTATTCTCTAGATCCGACGGGACGGCCGGGACACTCCTAACAAGGGGTACTGTCCCACTGAAAACGGGACGTGTGGTCACCATAGGTCAGCCTCAAGTCACAGAGCATTGTCTGGTTCCAGTATTAGACATAGTCGACTTAGAGGTACTGTGTCATTTAAAGGTTAAAGTCGAGACGATCGACTTCATTGCACCGGGTTTTATCCCATATAGCTGGGCCTCTCTCAGCAGAACGGGTAGCCGCCTGTCGTGAGCGCCACGTAGCTCCGGCGACGATCCCCCGAAATTCGTAAAAATTGCACACAGGAACTAAACGGCGCAGTCATAGAACGAACCCACGCGACCTTCAGAGCGTGATGCAAACGGTTTGACCTTTTCGCCACTGATCCCTCCCCTCCTCCCACCCCCACCACCGTAATTCATTCTATCAATCTAGATCAGACGAATTCGAATTCATAATCAGTATCCCTACAGACACATTTTTTTGTCATTGGGCGAATGAAGTTCCCAAGAAAGCCCAGTGGTATGGTCCCTTTTGTTTTAGATGTATTCTTTTGATGATGTTTCCCCATGTTACCTACCTTCTTAGACCATCCAGTATTATTATTCTCAGTTTGAATTTTCTTCTTCTACCTTGATCTTTCCAGTTTTCACGATGCTGTTGCAAAACTTGCATACTTTTATCTGTTATCTGTTACTATGGAACTGTACCCTTTTTAGAAACGACTAATCTAATTCGTGATTTTTAATAATAGTTTGAGTAGAAATAAATATAAACTATTTCGAGGCCTTTAAATTTTGAAACATCCTGCTCCTCCATTACTCTTCTTTCTTTCTTTCTTTCTTTCTTTCTTTCTTTCTTTCTTTCTTTCTTTCTTTCTTTCTTTCTTTCTTTCTTTCTTTCTTTCTTTCTTTCTTTCTTTCTCTCTTTCTTTCTTTCTTTCTTTCTTTCTCTTTTCTTTCTTTCTTTCTTTCTTTCTTTCTTTCTTTCTTTCTTTCTTCTTTCTTCTTTCTCTTCTTTCTTTCTTTCTTTTTCTTTTCTTCTTTCTTCTTCTTCTTTTCTTCTTCTTCTTCTTCTTCTTCTTCTTCTTCTTCTTCTTCTTCTTCTTCTTCTTCTTTCTTCTTCTTCTTCTTCTTCTTCTTCTTCTTCTTTCTTCTTCTTCTTCTTTCTTCTTCTTCTCTTCTTCTTCTTCTTCTTCTTCTTCTTCTGCTTTCTTCTTCTGCTTCTTCTTCTTCTTCTTCTTCTTCTTCTTCTTCTTCTTCTTCTTCTTCTTCTTCTTCTTCTTCTTCTTCTTCTTCTTCTTCTTCTTCTTCTTCTTCTTCTTCTTCTTCTTCTTCTTCTTCTTCTTCTTCTTCTTCTTCATCTTTTTCTTCTCCTCCTTCCTTTCGATTTGTTGCCTGCATTCGCCATCACTTCTCTAATTGTTCTTCTGTATCACGATTTTTTTTTTAACGTATCCAGAAACCATGAGTTGTAAACCCTTTGGCTCGGTACTATGGATATCGCAACCCTTCGGCATTGATTCCATTATAGGTACCGTTAATCTGGGAGAAATGTGTCTTTTCTGCCTACCCCCGGGAGTGAACCCGGACCACAAGGAGTTCGTCACCCGGCCGCCGCGAAAGTCAGGTTTAACCAACTGTATCACGATAAAAGAACGTCAGTTATCTTTTCTAGTTGCCTCCCTCTGTTTCTCTTCTATTTCAACTCTCTAAGTATTACGAGGTACTTCTCACCGCATGCCCATAAATGAAATAAAAAATAAATAATCAGTGCAGAACATAAAGCATTACATTAAAGACACACACAAATTACCGTTAGATATTAAAGAACACAATATTACCATTACATATAAGGACACGCTTAGAATTACCAGTCTGCATTAAAGAAACACGTAGAATTACTGTTTAACAGTGAAGACACAGACAAATATCACTGCTAAATATTGAACAAACACACAAAAATTACTACTAAATATTGAAAAAACACATAAATATTACCGTTACATCTGTAGACCAGATCTGACCATATAATCATCTCTTGAGAAAAGCAGAACACACCCAGGCGCCCCCCTTTAAGTGTACTATCATACACATTGCCAGAATCAGCCACTAAATTAGTCTCTTCAAACAAAAGTACTCTAGGGGGAAAACAATTACCATAATTCAGAACATGTATCAAAATACGCGATAATTAGAAGGTAATAACTATTATTATTTATGCTGACCACATCACCTACCCACGATTAGTCTATAAAATATAGGTCTAGCCCTATGTGCTCCAATACGCCTAAAGGCGTGGAAAAGAGTCATTTACTCACTTTAACCTCACTAATGAATATAAGTATTCGTTTGAGTGGTCCGTTTCCTTTAAAAAACTTATTTGATTATTCAGAATGCCAATGATTAGCTGGGTTTGAACGTAGATCCAGTTGAACTGGATCCTTGACACCACAACTCACATTATTTGGGAATATAGAATTTCATGTTCTTTTTTCTTCTGCCTTTCTAACCTCATGCTATCGCATGCAGCTCTCCCCCCCCCCCCCCCCCCACCCCCCTCCCGTCGTTTTAACTTTTCTCTCTAGCTCCCTTCTCCATGTGTTTTTCCCCTTTATTTCTATGCCCCTGTAGGTCCCAGTGCAAAAACATTCTAGCTATATTGTTCTCAGGTTTTCTTAACATGTGTCCTGTTCAACACTAGCGTCTTTTCTTCACCTTTTGGGCCACTGAGAACTTGTTTAGTTCTCTCCTAAAGCCCTACTTTAGTTATTCTATCATACCATTTAATTCCGTCCTTTCTGCGCAGGCACCATTTAGTGAATTTGTGTAGTTTATGACAGGAAAAAGTCACGTTCCTTACATTTACCACATTTAGTGTGGTGAAGGACGGTTAAGTCTTGGCCCTGCTGATTTCCCTTCTTCACTTTCACAGGCTGCAAGCTCTGACGGAAAGGTCTGGTTTTTCGTCCACTTCTGGACGTTGGTCTTGTTCCATAACTTGAGTTTTCCATACGCATCAATTTTACTGATCTGGCTTATGTATATGCAGACTGTTGGTTCCTCACCTCTCAAGCAGATGCACTCTGACAGCGAAGGAAATATCCTTATTTAGTCGACTCTTACGACATGCTTGTTGAGAAGCGGTCAGTGGGTCTATATTTTCATACTTCAATATTGCTCCGAAACCCACACAAGATGGACCCTGGGGGATCTGAAGCCCAGCCTGCTAGCCATTCGGCCGCCACGTATATTTTACATATCTACCTAGGTTGTGTGTTAATTATATTTGTGCAGGGAACAGAATGGATAAATGAAGTTCAACCCCACCAAGACCACACAACGAGAGATAAACACCTGGTGACACAAAGTACCACCATTCGGATGAGAATTACACAGACGCAAGTCCCAGAAACTCCGTTCAACCGTTAGGTTATATTAGGGCCCCTGAAAACAGTCGCAGCGGGGCTTTAAAATAACCAAAAATTGCGTCCCAATAAAGGGAATCAGAAGTTTAAGTCAAGCTTACTTATACACAAGTTGTCTTCCGTCGATCGATCAGTTTGCCCCATCTAGGATGCTATTTACAGTTTTACCATGTCATTCTGGCAAATTTCAGTCTGGACGGCAGACCAACACGGTAGATGCCAGATAACCTGTTCAACCTCCAAAGAAGTTATAATTAGGGCACCCGAAACTGCTACACTAGCCAGGTCTCACCTACGGGCTGGTCTGGTTAAGGACCAGCTTTGTCATGTTACGTCGTGCCTGTAAATATGTCCTTCATTCTTAATACAAGAAAATACAAGGGACCAAGCAAGATAATGTCTCACATTTTATAAGTAAGCGCAGCTGGAACTATATCAGCCATGCACTCAGAAAGGATAAATCGAGACTCCTCCATCAAGCCCATATATGGACACCAGGAGGGAAAAGAAAATAGGAAAGACCAAGACCCACGAAACATCATCAGAGAAGGCTTAACCTTATGCTAATAAACATCCGAGACCTAAAATAGGTGGTAACGAACCGCCAGACATTGAGCGCTATGACCTCTGCCATAAGCACCGCCCTTGGCTCAAGAAGAACGACTAACTTAAGCACACACAATCTAGGATCTTTTGCTAATACGTCAGAGACTGTCATGATTTGGTTAAACAAGCGCATATATGCAAAAACACACAATGCGTGAACACTGATACAATAACTCAGCTATTACATATATACAAACTTAAAGTGACGCAGAAAATTACTGTTTCTACCTACCTGATCAGTCCTCGCGAAGGTCGATGAATAAGTTCCCATCTATAGGCAGTTTTTTCCTTCCATCCTATGTTTCTTGGATCTTTCCACAATAACTTCACCTATACACCAGTTATAGTCAAAACTTGAATATGTGATGCTAACAATACCATCATCGTCTTCTTGTAACATAATGATAAGGGTGCGAAATCCTGCCCCGAAGTCTCACACCATCAGCTGAGTAATAACAGTTACCACTGCTTGTTCTCATTATAATTTTGGTAAAACTAAAGTTGAAAGCCGACATTATAGCTCAAACACAATGATAAAGAGAACAAGTGCATAGGGATTTTTGTAACTGACATAACACTCCCAGATTGCCCAAGTTAGACTGGGTACAAGGAAATGCCTTGGTAGGTGTGTGTTTGGAAAGCAAGGCAAGAATACATTATCCATTTAAAAAAGCATTGAAAGGCCCCACACAAAATAACATAGCTGATTCTCGATAACGATTAACAGAATTACAGAAAAGTGACACGCAGGGGTTACCAGGAGTCGCTTCTCTGTTTATTGTTTTTTTTTTTTTTTTGTGTGTGCCTACTACACTGGTTGCCTTTTAATATTTACACATTTATCTATCATGCTGTTTCAATTACACGAAAAGGGTTCTATAAGTACTTATCTTGCAAGCTTCAGTCAGCCAGACTGTAGTGCTTGAAAGTTGTTTGCATGAACTTTGCACATTCGCAGTGCTCCTTTGCTGGGGCAGTATTTCTACGTACACAGCACCTGCTGCAAATTTGCATCATTTTATATGTGCTTAAAGGGGATGGCAGTAAAACGGAAATGGGAGCAGAGAGGGGGGGGGAGTGAGAGAGTGTGTGTGTGTGTTGTGTATCTTTACTTACCACCTTTTAAGGGTGTGTAGGACAGTGATGTCCTGAGCCAAGGGCTTCAGGGGCCGGGCTTGTGCGGTCGCCACTGACTGTGCAGGTTAAAATATCATCCATGCAACCCGACCCAATGACAGAAACCTCCAGCCCCTTTCTCTCCCCCCTCCCCACCCGCTCCGACCCTAATCTCACCGAAGATTTGAAGCTGCGTCTCCCTAGGGAAAACACGTAAGTACATTAATTGTATGCCACACTTGAACTATTCGCGAAGAGCCTGATCATACCTGATTATGCGTGTCTCCTGTGTGCCACAAGGCGTTCCGCATAATCTGTCCGGGTCCCGTGTCTGAGTTTACCAATTTCAGCTGGATTCCTGGCTCAGCGACAGCTCTAGAACAATACAAGTTATACAACCATGACGTCAAGTCAAACTGTTTTGGTTGCAGATAGTAACTTGATGAAAGATTGGTTTGGAAACATTACTGCAGGTGATATATCATGATATTTTAAACGTGGATTCACCTTATGACAGGACAAGTTAGTAATACTTTAAATGCCGACCTTATTCCATTGTTTGTGTCTTCTTCTTTTCTCTACTCCTGGCGTCAGGGGAGGAAGAGATTTCTAGAACGGGCCATTCTGTTCGCTTCATATAATATCGAAAATAAAGTGTGTTCGTTCGTTCATTCGTATATAATTACAATCTGAGCTGTCTCTGTAAAAAATGTAACCCGTGAACCAAACGACGCTGCCGTGAAGTGAACACACGGGGCGAAAATCTTGATTATGTGTACGATTTTTAACATTGAAATCATTCCTCTTCTGTGTTGAAATGGAGACCCGTTAAAATATACAAAACTTGTAGCGTAACATTATTGGTCTAAACCTCGTCTAAAGTATGTGTGTGTGTGTGTGCGCGCGCGCGCGCGCGCGTGCGATAGCACACGTGTGTGCTGATTCCTTTCCTGATTATATTACAAGGTGCATTTTTTTTCCACTTTTGATATTCTATTAGGACTCTGATGTTGATCTCATTAGCCTAAGTAGCCATTGTAGGTAGTCTATTTGTAACTACTTTGGGATTGAGCGGGGTGTCCTGATATTGTCTTGTTTGTTTACTGTCAAAGATGAGATCACAATAGTCTCAAGGGTGATCAAATCTTCAGTAGCAGCCCGGAGGGTAAAAGACACACAGACGTAACAGTCATTCTGATGCATGGCTAGGTGATAGCGTACAATTTATAGAGAACTCTTTTTATAAGGTCCTTCATCTAGAATGAATTTTGTTTGAAGCGGTGACAGGATAGTTGGTAGCTATAGTTACATAACTCAAGGCCGACTGTCACCTTGTCGTCGCCCTTCCTACACCTATTCTTCTCGACTTTCACTAGACACTTCTTCTTAAGACTCTTTAGTATGCTTGCTAGCAAAGCCTCTATGTACTGTACTGTTCTTGTAAAGCATCAGCAAGTCAGTGTTAGCCCGAAGAAGTAGTTATGTGTACGACCCTCCTGTCTTATCCTTGCTTGGTTCGTGGGATCTGTTTTCTTACAGCAGATGCAGCTTTGATATTTATAATTGTGTCAAATACTATGCGAAAGAACGAGGTTAGAAAATAAAGCACTTTTACTGTTTTCCTATTTGTGATAGATATGATGTTTGCTGCCCCAAAACGCTAGCATATATATCACTGTCTGTAAGGAACCATGAATGCATGATTTTTATCTCTCTGTTCGTAAAATATTATCTCAGTTTGAATGTAACTTGGTATCAGAACTTGGATGCTAATTAGTTTTAACTACTGTTTGAAAGGCAGTAAAAACAGTTAAACTGACTGCAATCTTTGGTCACAGCTAGCAGTTTGTAAGTAAACTAGGAGAATGAGTTGTGAATCATGACACGAGGGAGCATATGTGTAGAAAATTTTAAGCATGCATGAGACAGAAGATAGCGAAAACAAAATTGAAAAATGTAACACAGTATGTATTAAATAATAGACACGTTATCTAAATACACTGCGAGCTCGTATGGAACACAAGCTACACCCTTGGTATTTTTTATACTTCTTCTTTTCTTCTTCTGTCTTTCTAGCCCTAAGTAGACCATAGACCCTCAACCAACCGAGGACAAGTTGTTCTATCTGCTATCGCATGCGTTTCTCCCCATATCCTCCTTATCTTTTTAATGTCACTCTCTAGCTCCCTTCTTCATGACAGTTCTTGAGGTTTTCCTGGGTGAAAAATGGTACGATGATCTGGACTTCTTTTTGGCTTTCTCCAAACTGCGTCATATTTCTACTAGAAGAACCTTCCCTCATCTTTGTTGGCTGGGTTTTTATAGTTTCTCTTCTTTACTTTTCCATGGTTTGTTTGTTTTTATGGCTACGGTTTATAGCCACCCCAAGCCCAATCCTTCCCTCAGTCGCCTCTTACAACATGCCTGGTAAAGTGCAGTGTCACTATTATTTGCTTCGCGTGACACGCGGGAGACTTCTGGCATAAACCTGTTGAGCTATCTGAAGTGAGAGCTTGCGCCGCTGATTGCCCATTCACTGGATACATAGTACCCAAGGCCTACCTGAATGGTGCCGCCTGCCAGTAGGTCTGGGCTTGCTTCTTCCACATCAACGTGTAGAACTTTGAGCTGTCCTGGTAGGAGAACACAAATCCGGCGTAATCATCATCAATGTCCGTGTTGACAAAAAACGTTCCACTGAAGTCCACTCCCGAAAAAGCATTGTAACCTAAATATGTAACATTATTTATTAAAATTTTATTGCAGTGTATAATATGCACTAAATTACAACTTAAAATTAGGAGACCCATTAAAACATACTATTCTTGGTATTTTTAAAATCTTTTCATACTTACAGTAGATTACAGTTTTTAATTAACAGTGTGAAAAAAAATGGTCACAGATAATATCAGCACTCTTAGAAAGATAAAGTAGACAGAAGTAGGCTTTAGAGAATATACTAGATAATATAAACCTTGAATGTTATCGTAGGCATATCAGGATTTGAAACTGCCGCCATATATCAGTACTAATGTGGGTGGCAAATGAGATTAATAATGACTCCACCTATTTCATTGATTTCCTATGCTATTAACACGTTTCACAGCTGTCAATTTTCTTGCTCCACTTTTCACAGCTTAACAAAAAGCGTGTGTCTTTTTCGTGCATTTTCACAATCATTCCCATGATCTTCAGAACGTTTATTCTATAAATATATTCTATAAATATTTACAACTCACACACGCAAACTGGACACACAAACACACACACACACACACACACACACATCCTCATACGCACGCATACACATACGTACGCATTTACACGCGCAGAGAGAGAGAGAGAGAGAAAAAGAGAGAGGGGGGGGGCAGAGTAAAAAACAAATAAAGATAAGGACAACTGACTCACTGACTGCAAGTCCTGGATCACTATTCATAGTCTGTACAACTTCAGCACCCTAAAATTGAATGTAGAACTTAGTGGCTGAAAATGGTTGAACAAAGAACACACGTTCAAAATCATCACAAGAAAAGTTACATTTTCCTAGATACAGGAATGTTAAAGTCTTGATGATCGACATAATTGCACAGGGTATCACCAGAATCATGGATCAGGTCCGTGTACTTATCTTTCCCCTCAACCAAGGTATTTATCTCTTTGTCTTCCTGTTGCTCTCTTTCTATCAATCTTTCCAGCTGTTACCAAACCCTCCAGTCCATTCCTTGTTAAAATGTCAGTAATAAATTAAAACAATACAAAAACACGGAGAAGATGTAGCTACTTTCTCTGATATTTAAATTTAATACTCTATTTCCCATGACACATCTCTTAAATGCATGTACTCTGTCTACAAAATATATATTCAGACGTCATTGAGAACATTTCCCAGGTGTCTCTCTGTGCCGTTTATAGCTGCACACATTTCATGTAATCTCCAGTACTTATGTCTTCAGCTTGCCCTTTCATCGCTGTTGCATTGCTAAATGAATTGTTATTTGTGTGTGTGTGTGTGTGTGCTTGTGTATAAGCGTGTATGTGTGCGCGCGCTCACGTCTGTCAGGCTTGTATGCATCTATAATGTTTATCATATCAATGATTGGTCATTTGTACGGTAGCTAAGACAATTATCGAACCCTAATGTTTTAGAAGACAATTGTCTATTTCAACTAATGTTCTACAAGACAATTGTATAAGCCGACTAATGTACTGCAATACAGTTATTTATTATCAGCAAAGTCCTCTAAGTATAGCATCTTTGAGAAAATGAGAACACAGAAACAAGTTAGTAAAAGATAAAGCAGAGGTCCCTTTTTCATGCCTTCAGGCTTTTAGGGCATATAGGGCTAGACCTATGTTTTTATAGACCATTCGGCATAAGATGGGTGATGTGGTCAGCATCACACCGGCTGCTTTTACTTCCCGGGATTGCATGCACCCGGTACCCACTCAAGGCTGGGTCGATCTGGGAGTCAAGGTCATTTTTGAAAAAAAAAAGTCCGGCTCCGCCAGGAAGCGAACCCACGACCTTCCGATCCGCACGCGAGCGTCTAGCTGCCACGCCACGGCGACTCCCTAGTTAAAGATAGATACCACTAAAATGCTGAAGTATGGAAAGAACTACAGTATAGCAATGAATAGTCCGAATAACATGTAAGAATGAGGGTTTATGCTTCATTAGAGCAAGAAGAAAAACAGAGGCATCAGCAATGACCAGAAGGAGATGAATACTAAAACTAAAAGTCCCAGAAAAAAAAAAATAACATGTTCAAAGCTTGTCTGAATAAATGTGAAAAACTTCAATAGCTCACATCATTAAGGATAATCCAGTTGGGGTCAATCTGTGAATCGCCGTGTGGGTCCAAGATGACTGTCTGGTAGGCTCTGAAGTCTGTGGCGAAAATCTTCCCGTTATCTGGGCAAACATCTATGGCATCGGGATAACCGTCTCCATCGTTATCACCCTCGCAAGCATCCCCCTTGCCATTCTCTGTTTCATCATACATGAAAACGTTGCTGGTTAATAAACATGAGCAAGGAAGTGTGGTGTGCAGTCATTAACGGTGTCATAGTTCTAAAGCAAACAATGCTACGGAAAATAGTATACAGTCACCGTAACATCGTGATCTCTACATTTCAAAACTAACAGTGCATGCTTTGGAAAACAGACACAGGTGTCCTACGAGATGAGTGGTTTGCACCGCTTGATAAGACTCAGATCAGAAACAAAACATGGATTTTCTGACCCGGAAATTCTGGGGTGTGGGGTAACGAGCAGGTTGACAGACTGGATGCTGCTACTCCATCCCTTCCCCTTCCTTTCCTGGGTGTGGGCTATTTTATAATACAGCAGATGTGATGAGGGCTCTCTGGAATCAAGTGGTATACAGTGTGATAGAATAGACATTTTGTGGTATCCATATAGAGACTGGTTTGGGGAGAACTCTTTTAAATAAAACAAAATGATACTTTTTCTTCGGCTTAAAAAAAATTAACAACCCTATTTACAAAAATGTATGGTTAAAAAAGTGTAGGCTTCCGATCAAAATGGAGGATTAGTCATGGCAAAATGTTATTTTGAAGTTATTTTTGCTTCCAGGAGCGCTTTGCTAATGCAGTTTCCTCTACGGTTTCCTTATTGAGTTTAGAGCTTGGTACAGCCCTGTTAGCTGATTAGCTGTGTTTTTCATGTGGAAAGCCTTTCATTTGTGCAACGGCAGTGTCGTTGAATTCAATATGGCCAGTAGCCGCTTTTCGTGTGAGCTGGTGAAATACCGTATGTGATGCTTTTTCAACGTAATTCCAACATACCGCGATCGAAACCCACTGCTGGCTGCGTGGAATTTTAACATGGTATGGGGCGTTGCTGGTCGACCCAGCCTAAAATGGGTACCAGGATGTGTGTCCAGGGGAAGTAAAGAGGGCCGACGTAATGCTGACCCCATTACCCACCTAGTGCCAATTGGTCTGTAAAAATATTCGTGCTTTCCCACATGCCCGATGCGACTAAAGGCCTGCAAAGGGATCTTTACTTACTGTTGGCTTTGCCGCCTCTGGCCTCTGCCATGTGCTTTTACTGCTCCGCACATTTCTGGATTGTTCCGAGACTAATTGTTTATTCACTAGTTTTTCAAATGAGAAAGTAAGGGACATTTTATTTGATTTGTACTGGCACAGGATCGGAGCAAGTATGGGGAAAACCCGATTGCAGTAAAGTTGATACCTCGACTAAGACTAAGGGTAGACTACTGTATGTGTGTGTGTGTGTGCGTTTGTGTGTGTGTGTGTGCGTTTGTGTGTGTGTGTGCGTGTGTGTGTTTGCGTGAGTGTTTGTGTCTGTGTATGTGTGTGTGTGAGTGTGTTTGTGTTTGTGTATGTGTGTGTGTGTGTTTAAATTACCCAAAGTGAAAGACAACACAGATTATTTCTTGCATTCTCTCTTCACTTGTGGATAACCTCACACAGAGTTTTTTTTTTTTTGAATCAACTTACTGTCAGTGTCATCCTGATCCGGGTTGGCGACAAACACGCAGTTATCATTTATGTCAGGAATGCCATCGTTATCATCATCATCATCACAAACATCGCCTGGAAGCCAGCAAAGGTTTTTTTTTTTTAAATTGTTTTAAAAAGTATTATAAAACTAACTCTGAGACGATACACATAATTAAAACAAAGAATGCTACTTCAATTCCTACCTGAAATGAGAAAGGGTGTCCTTAAACAAAATCTAAACCGATTCCACCGAATGAATAGAATTTTAGAGACCAAAAATTTTTTAAAAAATTTAAAAAGTGAAAGTTTTCTTCGCTAGCTGTTCAACAATACCTACGTTACTGTATGTTTGCTAACTGTTCAACAATGTCTACGTTACTGTATGTTCGCTAACTGTTCAACAATGCCTACGTTACTGTATGTTCGCTAGCTGTTCAACAATGTCTACGTTACTGTATGTTCGCTAGCTGTTCAACAATGCCTACGTTACTGTATGTTCGCTAGCTGTTTAACAATGCCTACGTTACTGTATGTCTGCTAGCTGTTAAACAATGCCTACGTTACTGTATGTTCGCTAGCTGTTCAACAATGCCTACTACTGTATGTTCGCTAGCTGCTCTACAGTGCCTACGTTACTGTATGTTCGCTGGCTGTTCAACAATGCCTGCGTTACTGCATGTTCGCTAGCTGTTTAACAATGCCTACAACTGTGTGTTCCCTAGCCGTTCAACAATGCCTATGTTACTGTACGTTCGCTAGCTGTTCAACAACGCCTAAAACTGTATGTTCGCTAGCTGTTCAACAGTGCCTATGTTACTTTACTGTATGTTCGCTAGCTGTTCAACAATGTCTACGTTACTGTATGTTCGCTAGCTGTTCAACAATGCCTACGTTACTGTATGTTCGCTAGCTGTTCAACAATGCCTACGTTACTGTATGTTCGCTAGCTGTTTAACAATACCTACAGCTGTATGTTCGCTAGCTGTTCTACAATGCCTACGTTACTGTATGTTCGCTGGCTGTTCAACAATGCCTACGTTACTGTATGTTCGGTAGCTGTTCAACAGTGCCTATGTTACTTTACTGTATGTTCGCTAGTTGTTCAACAATGCCTACAACTGTATGTTCGCTAGCCGGTAAGCAATGCCTACGTTACTTTACTGTCTGTTCCCTAGCTGTTCAACAATGCTTACGTTACTGTATGTTCGCTAGCTGTTCAACAGTGCCTTCCTTACTGTATGTTCGCTAGCTGTTCAACAATGCCTACATTACTTTACGGTATGTTCGCTAGTTGTTCAACAATACCTACGTTACTGTATGTTCACTAGCTGTTTTACAATTCCTACGTTACTGTATGTTCGCTAGCTGTTCAACGATGCCTACGTTACTGTATGTTCGCTAGCTGTTCAACAATGCCTACAACTGTATGTTCGCTAGCTGTTCAACAATGCCTACTTTACTGTATGTTTGCTAGCTGTTCAATAATGCCTACGTTACTATATGTTTGCTAGCTGTTCAACAATGCCTACGTTATTGTATGTTCGCTAGCTGTTTAACAATGCCTACGTTACTGTATGTCTGCTAGCTGTTGAACAATTCCTACGTTACTGTATGTTCGCTAGCTGTTCAACAGTGCCTATGTTACTTTACTGTATGTTCGCTAGTTGTTCAACAATGCCTACAACTGTATGTTCGCTAGCCGTTAAGCAATGCCTACGTTACTTTACTGTCTGTTCCCTAGCTGTTCAACAATGCCTACGTTACTGTACGTTCGCTAGCTGTTCAACAACGCCTACAACTGTATGTTCGCTAGCTGTTCAACAGTGCCTATGTTACTTTACTGTATGTTCGCTAGCTGTTCGACAATGTCTACGTTCCTGTATGTTCGCTAGCTGTTCAACAATGCCTACGTTACTGTATATTCGCTAGCTGTTCAACAATGCCTACGTTACTGTATGTTCGCTGGCTGTTCAACAATGCCTACGTTACTGTATGTTCGCTAGCTGTTCAACAATGCCTACAACTGTATGTTCGCTAGCTGTTCAACAATGCCTATGTTACTGTACGTTCGCTAGCTGTTCAACAATGCCTACAACTGTATGTTCGCTAGCTGTTCAACTATGCTTACGTTACTGTATGTTCGCTAGCTGTTCAACAGTGCCTATGTTACTTTACTGTATGTTCGCTAGTTGTTCAACAATGCATACAACTGTATGTTCGCTAGCCGTTAAGCAATGCCTACGTTACTTTACTGTCTGTTCCCTAGCTGTTCAACAATGCTTACATTACTGTATGTTCGCTAGCTGTTCAACAATGCCTACATTACTTTACTGTATGTTCGCTAGTTGTTCAACAATACCTACGTTACTGTATGTTCACTAGCTGTTTAACAAATCCTACGTTACTGTATGTTCGCTAGCTGTTCAACAATGCCTACGTTACTGTATGTTCGCTAGCTGTTCAACAACGCCTACAACTGTATGTTCGCTAGCTGTTCAACAATGCCTACAACTGTATGTTCGCTAGCTGTTTAACAATGCCTACTTTACTGTATGTTTGCTAGCTGTTCAATAATGCCTACGTTACTGTATGTTTGCTAGCTGTTCAAAAATGCCTATGCTACTGTATGTTCGCTAGATGTTCAAAAATGCCTATGCTACTGTATGTCCGCTAGCTGTTCAATAAACACGACCATAAGTTACTCAGTTGCTGTGGGCAAACGGGACACCACATAAATTCATCATTAATTTGAAGAGGGTGAAAGAGAAAACGCTATCAAATAATGTTGTAATTTACATAAAATCCTGTCATTGGTACCCAACAAACTCGAAAGAGGATGACATTCCACTGAAAAGAAAATATTATTGAACGTAGGCGTCTTGTATGTTTGAAGAAAATAGTTTTAAAGCCAGTTTGAAAGAAATTTAAATATTTAAGCTTGAAAAAGAAGAAAACAGTCATACATATTTTGAATCTGACATTTTAAGAATATAACAAGCATTAAAAATGCGAGATTTCAGAAAGATACTTGGCATATCATACAGGGACCACATTACAAACGAAGAGGTTCACCTTAAAATTATACAGCACATTGGCAGCTATGAACCTCTTTTAACTACAGTAAAAAGGCGAAAAATGAAATGGTATGAACATATGAAGGTAAAAAAGGTAAAGTCGGGAGATGTGAACCAGCCACCAGTACGGACAGCTGACAAGAAACTGTCCGCCTGTGTCGCGTCAGCACGTAACTCTGTAGCTACAGCGACGTTCCTCCATTTATCCCAGAGTGTCAAGTCTGGTACCCATTTCATAGAGGCTGTGTGAACCCCGGGAACCTCCCGGTTTCGAACACCGACCGTGGTTGCAGTACGAACATGTAAGAAGATCTAACTGCCTCTCAGAAACAACACTGCAGGGCTCAGTAGAGGGAAAGAGGAGAAAAGGCTGACCAAGAAAGACCTGGTTACAGAACCTGACTGGCTGGACAGGCCTCAGGCATGCAACCATGAAGTCCATCGCAACTGACCGCCAAAGGTGGAGAGAGCTGATAAGACATTCAACAGAAACTGGTGACCCAACGTTACGTAGTGTTAGGGGATGATGATGATGATGATGATGATGATGATGGTGATGATGAACGTATCTTACCAATGCCATCACTATCTGTATCTTTCTGATCAGCATTTGCTATCTCCGGACAGTTATCATAGTCGTCCTGCTTGCCGTCTCCATCCCTGGAAGGTGGATATTGGCAATATTCAGAATTTAAAAAACGTAAAGAACATTTCTCACATCATTAGCACATCAGCTATATGATGCTAGGCTCATATTTGATTGATCAGTCTGTACTCCTAGGCTCCAGGGGTCAACATCACTCGGGCCGCCTATACTTTCCATGACATTTCCTACTATTAAGTAACAAACATGTACCTTTTCCGGCAAACGGTTGCACGTGTAGGAATGTCTTCTGTCCCATTCAATTATTGGTCCCATGGTGGAATGTCTTCTGTCCCATTCAATTATTGGTCCCATGGTGGAATGTCTTCTGTCCCATTCAATTATTGGTCCCATGGTGGAATGTCTTCTGTCCCATTCAATTATTGGTCCCATGGTGGAATGTCTTCTGCCCCATTCAATTATTGGTCACAAGTTATAATGTCTTCTGTCCCATTAAATTATTGGTCACAAGTTATAATGTCTTCTGTCCCATTCAATTATTGGTCACAAGTTATAATGTCTTCTGTCCCATTAAATTATTGGTCACATGTTATAATGTCTTCTGTCCCATTCAATTATTGGTCACAAGTTATAATGTCTTCTGTCCCATTAAATTATTGGTCACATATTATAATGTCTTCTGTCCCATTCAATTATTGGTCACATGTTTTAATGTCTTCTGTTACATTCAATTATTGGTCACATATTATAATGTCTTCTGTTCCATTAAATTATTGGTCACAAGTTATAATGTCTTCTGTTCCATTAAATTATTGGTCACAAGTTATAATGTCTTCTGTCCCATTAAATTATTGGTCACATGTTATAATGTCTTCTGTCCCATTAAATTAATGGTCACAAGTTATAATTTCTTCTGTCCCATTCAATTATTGGTCACATATTATAATGTCTTCTGTTACATTCAATTATTGGTCACATGTTATAATGTCTTCTGTCCCATTCAATTACTGGTCACATGTTTTAATGTCTTCTGTTACATTCAATTATTGGTCACATATTATAATGTCTTCTGTTACATTCAATTATTGGTCACATGTTATAATGTCTTCTGTCCCATTAAATTATTGGTCACATGTTATAATGTCTTCTGTCCCATTCAATTATTGGTCACATGTTATAATGTCTTCTGTTACATTCAATTATTGGTCACATATCATAATGTCTTCTGTTACATTCAATTATTGGTCACATGTTATAATGTCTTCTGTCACATTAAATTATTGGTCACATGTTATAATGTCTTCTGTTACATTCAATTATTGGTCACATGTTATAATGTCTTCTGTTACATTCAATTATTGGTCACATGTTATAATGTCTTCTGTTGCATTCAATTATTGGTCACAAGTTATAATGTCTTCTGTCCCATTAAATTATTGGTCACATGTTATAATGTCTTCTGTTACATTCAATTATTGGTCACATGTTATAATGTCTTCTGTTGCATTCAATTATTGGTCACATGTTATAATGTCTTCTGTTACATTCAATTATTGGTCACATGTTATAATGTCTTCTGTCCCATTAAATTATTGGTCACATGTTATAATGTCTTCTGTCCCATTCAATTATTGGTCACATGTTATAATGTCTTCTGTTACATTCAATTATTGGTCACATGTTATAATGTCTTCTGTTGCATTCAATTATTGGTCACATGTTATAATGTCTTCTGTCCCATTCAATTATTGGTCACATGTTATAATGTCTTCTGTCCCATTTAATTATTGGTCACATGTTATAATGTCTTCTGTCCCATTAAATAATTGGTCACATGTTATAATGTCTTCTGTCCCATGTTATCGATCCAGCGGAGCATGAGCTGTCATGTAGTGGAATTTGCAAGTTTTTACAAGCTGTTCTTATCCTCCGTACAAGGTGTTCCACTTGTCTGGTCTCAGAGGGAGTAGCATTCTTCTAGTCTCGCTGTGTTTTGGACACTTAAAGAGATGGTGTTCCAACAGTTTCGTAGGGGGTAGTTACATAGTTGGCATTCTGGGGGGTGTCTGAAATGTGTTGCTAGCACCGATTCTAACGTCTGTACGCTACAGGTCAGCCCAAGCGCTCTTCTTCGTGGAGGCGCCGAAAGTGAGCCCATCAGAACTCGCTGCTGCATTTCTCGAAAGATAAAAACATTAACAAAATCTAACTAGATCTGTCAACTTAAGCGGTCAAAATTCCGTGTTCACATTGACAGGCCTTACCAGCCGTATAAGTTAGTTGTTTATCTTGCATGCCTCTTCCAAATCAAATCAAAGCGGTCTGTTTCTACCCCTCCAGTAGCTGGAATCGAACCGGGTATTTTAGCATTATGAATCACGTTTGCAACGCTTAAGCCATACATTCACCATAAATCCCGCATCAACCACCAGATGTTGAAAGGACTGGTCATTATAACTTGTGACAAACGAACAAAACTTTGCAACTTTGTGCAGGAGCGCCCGGACCTGGCATCGGACACCTAATTATTACTTTTGAGCCCTTAATCAAGGCTTAAGCTGCTTGAATCCCACACTAAGAACATTATAAATGGGCGTAGCGTCTCCCCCCCCCCCCCATTCAACCGCCCCGCCTCCGCCCCCTTCCCCTCAATGATTTCGTAGAGGCAGTGCCCCTGATACTGTGTCAGTCAGAAACAATAATGATACAGCAGATGAGCGTATAAAGTATACCGCTATTTTAAATTATCTCCATTCATATTCCAGAAGTATGAAAGAATTACCGCACTGATAGCATGGCTGAAAATGAAAATTAATCATGGCGACACGGTTTCCGGAGAAATCTAATCAATGTAGGCGTTACCGCTAATTATAAGCCAACAGATTAATTGCTCTTCTAAAATTGTTGATTAAAACATATTTATTATTGATTTTTGGTTGCAACTCTGTTTTCACTATCTTTCTGATATAACTAGGTGGTTCAATAGCCTAAGATGAGACTGAGTACGTCAGTCCTGACACTGAAACTGAAACACTGATCAGACGATACCTGGTCGATATTGGGCAAAGTAGGACAGTTATCGCAAGCGTCTCCTACGCCATCTTTGTCTCTGTCCTTTTGATCAGGGTTGGGTATAAGCTCGCAGTTGTCATCTTCGTTTGTGATTTCTGTCCAAGAGAAAGAACGAATGCTTGATGAACATGTGTAAAACACAGATTCACGTAAAGGCACACGCAGATAACGCACACAACAAATGTTCCATTACTGCTATAAGTACATCTTCCTGAGAATAACAAGCTTAAAAAAGATAACATTAGTTTAATGAAGAAACTAACTCACAAAGACAACATGTTACCAATATCAGATGAAAAAATCTACATCTTTTGAGTACGTAATTAAAAGGGCAAATCCGGAGGAGGTTGTGACAAAAGGAAAGCTGGGGGAAAATGAGACATGGGGGAGGTAGGGGAAGGCAGAACCAATAGAGTGTATGTTGGATAGTTGGACATTACAGCATTGTGAAACACATTATCACAATATTTAGCGGCAACACTCAGAGCCGTCTTAACATCATTTTAGATCTCTGCGCAAATTTATGTGCTCGGGCGCCTACAACAACCACACACAGGTAAATGTAAATTGTCGAAAATATCAAACACATATTTATTTTACTGGCACTTCAACAAAACTAGTGATAACGGTTAAAACACAGATTATATGGCACCGCATAAAATTACTACGAACTTCTTATATGTCAGGTCGCTTAACATACACAGATTATCTTAGGCTCCCGTGTTTGTGAAGCCCCTGGGCAACGTGTTACGCGGGCCCACGTGTTAGGACGGCCCTCGTACACCTACCCGAACAATCTGAGAAAGCACGATGACGTAGCATTGACTTACAGGAGAAGAAAAAGACACTAAAAAGTCTGAATCTAGACAATTGACGATATTGTTTGAAATTTACAGTTAATGAAGGAACAACCATAATAACAGAAGTGGTTGAAGGAAAGATACTGCCATACTGCCCCTTCTTCCTAGGCAGAGATGTCTTAAGTAGTTGGACCATGTATCTCGAATGGAGGACGGACCAATTCCAATTCCAGTTCCTTTTAAGAAAAAATCAAACACTCAAACACGTTCATCCTGCTGCTAGCTAGCTGAAGCTGCCAGCAGTCTCCGGCTATATTTGTGGTCTTGTTTATTCGAGCCGCTTTCGTGGCTAAAGTTCTGGTATTTGCGCCGTCTCAGGGCTTAATGCTTCTGTCCTCCAAGTCTGACCTCTCATTCCCTATCCTGTTGTCAACTGTGTCTTGTCCTTTCATTTCTGATGTTTCTTCCTTGGTTTCAGCTCCTTCTGACTTGGCCGGGCGTATATCGTAGGAGAGCGAGCTTCTCGACAAAACGTCTTCTTTAGACCACCGTTTATAGTTTTAAAATTAAGTCGTATTTCAGAAGATCTTTACGGAGAACTAGCCACAGGGAAGGTGCTAACCAAAAGGCACTAAATGTGATTTAAAATATATGTAAACAGGAGAGCGGCGTCCGTGGCTTAGGCGACTCCTAATTACGACGTACCGCGATTGAAACCCACTGCTGGCTGCGTGGATTCTTATCATGGTCTGGGACGCCTCAGATCGACCAAGCCTAAAATGGGTACCAGGATGTCTGTCCTGTGGAAGTAAAGCCGGCCGGCGTAATGCTGACGACATTACCCACTTAGAGCCGATTGGTCTGTGAAAATATGGGTGCTTTTCTCAAATGCCCGAAGCGCGTGAAAATGGGTCTTCACTTTAATATTACCATTTAAATATTCTTACAATTCGACAACAGAAACTAGACAGGTTTAGAATGCATAGTCTAAAATACTAACTACCAAAGCAAACAGTCGAGGAAAATACCATCATTATCCTTGTCTGGGTCGCAGTTATCACCAAGACCGTCCCCATCGGTGTCTGTCTGGTCCGGGTTAGGAACAGTGGGACAGTTGTCGCAAGCATCGCCTCGTTGATCTGGATCTCTCTCCGTGTCCACTTGGTCAGGGTTGGGCACTAGTGGACAGTTGTCCTGTTTGAGGAAAGATATTGTTGAATGTTAACATAATAAAGAAATACAGTCGTTAAGCTACTGGTCGGGGTTGGGCACTAGTGGACAGTTGTCCTGTTTGAGGAAAGTTATTGTTGAATGTTAACATAATAAAGAAATACAGTCATTAAGCTACTGGTCGGGGTTGGGCACTAGTGGACAGTTGTCCTGTTTGAGGAAAGTTATTGTTGAATGTTAACATAATAAAGTAACACAGTCATTAAGCTTTCACATCATTGCTGAAAAGGATGGACTTCACATTCACAACATCCGCACCAAGTGGTACAGCAACCTCTTTGAAAACAAAATTCTTTTTTTTTTTTTAAATTAAATGATCAACAAGATAAGAGCAAAAGGATCTGCTGGGGCCAGGTGGTGAGCTCTTAACGTCTGATCTACTCTGCCCTATATATTTCAAAAACCATGCCCACTAACGAAGCGGAGCACACTAGATGTGTTACTGTAAATTCGTTAATAAATTACAGAATATAAGCAGACACAACAATTGTTTCATTTCTATTTGGTTTGTTGAGGAAACGTTTGAGAGTAAAATAGCAGGAGATGAATGTACAGATTCTATTACGGCGTGGCAGTAGTAGTAGTAGATTTTTACCCCACCAGGACATCACACAAGCTATAAACATCCGATGATACAAAGTGCCAACATATGGATGAGGATCACCCGTGGAGAGGTCCCAGAAACCGCGTTCAGCCATTAGACCATATTTATGGTCAGGCTATATTGCGGCCCCTGACAACAGCCAGTATAGGGCTTCAAAATAACGAACAGTTGCATCTCACAAGGAGATGACTAGGTTATAATGTAGGCGGCGTGGCAAGACAAGCAAGCACACTTTGCTGAACAAATCTCAAAGCAGATGGACAGATCATGTTTTTTGAATGTCAGATAAAGGAAAATATTAAATAAAATATACTTGACCTTGACGGAAAGTTAGAAAACTCACCGTGTACGGCAAAGGCAAATAAATCATCACACAATAAAAGCCTCATTAAGGAAGTTAACCACTGACCTGCTAAAAAACTCTAAGATGGCCCCAAAACCATATGTCTGGAAAGTTGGCAGTGATAAACAAACAACATAAGGAAAAAGTAAATGGTTAATAACTAATTTCCCTAACTTCAAAAGTATACCGGCGTCTCTTGCAGTTAAACTGAAGAGTAATCTTGTAGAAATTATTAGCAGCTAAATGGTTGCTGCTCCTATTTACTACCACAGTTTTAAATATCCTGTCCCATTTCACAAATCTTTACACCCACACAATGTACGAGACTAATTATTAATCAAACACAGTAAATGAGAACAGAATAGCCAACTCACAGGATTATTCAGGATGCTATCATTGCGTTATCCTGGATAAAAAATATGACTATTATAAGCTCATTCCGCTCAAAGATCTTATAGATAGCTTGCAAGTATAAAGCAGTATCTTTAGGTACTATGGACTTTGTAAACAAAACTCAAGCGCTGCAAAAAAACGGCTGCACATACCTGTCGACACCTCCTGTCTTCGCATGACAATTCTATATCTGGGAACCCGTCCAAATCTGTGTCTCTAGCACACATCTGCCCATCTCCTGCATAGCCCACTGCACACTGCAAGGGACATATAATGTTTCTGAACAAGGTAGAATGGGGGAAAGTGAACGAAGAAGAAGAAAAGGAAGAAGAAGTAGTAGAAAAAGAGTAAGAAGAAGAAGAAGAAGAAAAAGAAGAAGAAGAAGAACAACAACAACAACAACAACAACAACAACAGCAATAACAAGATAATAATGATAAAGGTACTCATGATAATGGTGATGCAAATAAAACAATAATGATACAGAAAAGTACGCATAGATATAGGCACACACAAACAACACAGACGTATTTTGCGCCAACGCCGCAGATATTTATCTTCGATCCTTATTAGGCAAAGAAATAAAATAGAATGTGTTTTTAAAAAAAGTTCAATGCCCAGCTTCCATTCTGGGCTTAAGGCTAGGTATGTATATTTTTATTAGTCCAATTTCAAAAGCCGAATGTATAACAAGTGTTTTAAACAGAATAAGAGACCCCTTTTCATGCCACTGTTGCGCCAGATAAATGGCTCTAGATTCATATTTTTTATTGATCAATCGGCAACCGATGAGTCAAGACCGGCTCCACATGCTGCCGACATCACCAAATCGGCCCAGCTATACGTTAACGCAGCGATTCTCAAACTGGCTGCCGCGACACCCAGGGGTGCCCCGAGTGTATGTCAGCGGTGCCGCGACAATATTAAACAATTCTTCCAAATCTGTTTGACATTAAATTTGCAATGGTTGCTTTCCTTCGTTTCTTAAGTATTCAAACCGCTTTAAGGGGAGGTATGCCGTGAAAATTTTTTGGGCTGACAAAAAAAGTTTGAGAAACGCTTCGTTAACGTATCGTTAGCCCGGTTTTGTGACGTCAGCAGCATGCCACATCAGCTGGAGCCGGTCTTGGATGATTGATGTCATCCATCAATCTGACCACTTTTGTTTCGCTGAATATTTCCGGGTAGCCATCCTAGCCTGGGTCGACCTTGAAGGATCAGATCTGTTGTTCCTGTTTTAAAAATTCATCCCGATGTAGACTGTGACTGGCCATTACCTATTTTGCATTGTCAAGCCTATAAAATTTAGAACACTAAGCACTTATAAGTTGTTTAGTCATTGTTGTTAGTGGAAAAAGTAGCAATTTTTTTTATTAGGTTCCTATTAGGTTTTCGCGAGCTAGTTTATGTAACAGGTGTCACGTTGTATTGTCTTCGAAAAACTTTCTGCGTTGTGTGTTACTCGTTGTTGTGAGCAGCGACCACAGCATTTTAACAGTTCTGAAACCACATGTCCTACGCTGCACTCTCTCATGGGACGTAGGGGGTGTCGTGGAGTGAACAGCCAACCCTACACTATGAACGAGTCGTGAGCCTGACGCCCCTAAGCGGGCACTTCACATTTCAAACTTAAACCCTTCCGGAGGGGTATATAGTCACTTATATCGATATACATCTTTATATGGTGAAATATTCATTTCTAGACCCTCTAATTGCTTTGAGAAATATTCATTTTCAAACTTGCAACTGTGGGCTGAGTATTTCTGGTGTTTAATTCAGAAATTCCTGTAAGCCTGTTTACTCCTTGTGCATGAATACAGGGACTTCTTTCTTAGCGACGCCAAGCTTAGTTTTGAGCGGCATTCTTTCGCCTGATCTCCAAAGTGTCAAGACGTGTATACAGTTTAAAATTGGCGCATTCTAAGTACCAGTTCTCTCTTTGAAGAATTCCTAAGCTAGGGTAAGTTGATTATAGTTTACGAGTACCATAATATATGTCTTTTTAAAGTTGGCCACTGCTGCAGAGAGGGAGATTTAGCTGTGTGATCGCACAGAGTTGGGCCGTTCTTGATGTCCAGAGATCAGGCTCCGAACATTGAACCTTTCCCTGTGCAGACTAAATAGTTTGTGCTCTACATAACCCACACCATTTGTAAAGATATTAAACCCTACAAGTAATTATTCTCGGACCAGACAAACGAAGTTTTGTGCCTTCTAGCAGAAATATGGAATCTGGGTCATCTTCTAACAGTGAACTGCTGTGATGTCAGAGCTAGACGCTCTGAGTCAAAGGTGTGTTTGGCACGGAAATATCGGGTGTGTAGTAGCAGCCTGTGGAGACGTGATATATATATATATATATATATATATATATATATATATATATATATATATATATATATATATATATATATATACCAACGCGATACATTGTATGCCTGCGAGTACAGATGTGAGGGTGGAGATAGGATGATCTATGTGTGGTAGTGTCTATCTATCTCCACTATATACCTTGTCTTCTATCTAGTGTACTAATTTACAGACAGATAAATGAAAGAAGACATTGTCTCCTGTTCTTGAGAGTTACACTCTGAGGAATGGAGAAGGGTAGCAGAGTGTTGGGTGAAATGGTGTGTGAATAAAGATGAATACTAATTCTGAGTTCTTTCCTGACAGGATGATACTTGCTTAGAGATCAGGCAGACGAATCACAGTCCAGCCAACAACCACCAACCCATACCATTCTGGGCACCAAGCATACCCAAAAGTCTTACTTATTGTTGCCACTACCTCAACATGGCAAGAGCTTGTTTGTGAGTTCCAGGACTTGTGAACAATTGCCGACACCTATGTCATCAATCCAGCGAACCAGTCTTCAAGAGTTTTGTTGGGCTCTTTTGCAGTTCCTGTGTCCTCACCTGTGAGACAGTCAGTGGGCACCACAGTCTTCAAGAGCTTTGTTGGGCTCCTATGCAGTTCCTGTGTCCTCACTTGTGAGACAGTCAGCTTGTACCAGATCAAATCGAGGCATCGCTACCTATTGAGTCAACTACAGTTGAATCACCATGGACTGAGGGAAGCATTGACCTACGAACTGGGATAAGTGATCTCGTATTCATATACATGCTCTCTTTCCACAGCTCCTTGTGATTCCTTTGATGAACTCATGTAATATCCAAGAACTACATCTGGCTGCTTCAACATCTGGGTCGTGTCATTGATACATGAACTCCATTCACTGAACATTCTTGATGATCTATTCATTAAAATATTTATATATATTGTACTTATTACATGCAGAAATAATCTGGGTCGTGTCATTGATTCATGAACTCCATTCACTGAACATTCTTGATGATCTATTCATTAAAATATTTATATAGATTGTACTTATTACATGTAGAAACTCTCATGGCTGACTTGGGTGTCCCTGTTTCTTCATTCTAACTGTCTAGCTTTTATGTTTGTATGAGTAATAAGTGTAATATGTGTTAACATGGCTATGATAGTATACTATCATAACCTGGGGGCTACCTTTTTATAGTAGTGGGGGTGTCCTACCAAGTGTGCCTAGGAGTAATATATATATATTGTAATGCCAAAGCTTGAGTTGCCCTACTCCTGAAATAAGTTGAGCGTATATTGGCCTGGGCAATGACAACAGCTCACAGAAGCCAGCTGCAGGCCTCGGAAATGAGATACCTGAGAAAGGTGGTCCAAGTGACAAGAAGGGACAAAGTCCGCAATCAGACAATACGTCAAGATCTTGATACCCAGCCCTTACTAACCCGAGTGGATCAGTCACAGTTACGATGGTTTGGACATGTGTGCAGAATGGGAGAAAATCGGCCACCATGGCAAGCATGGGAGGCTAAGAACCAGGGAACCAGACCTCCGGGACGACCCAGGGTGCGCTGGGAAGACAACATCCGACAGTCCCTGACTGACAGAGGACTGGAATGGAACAAAGCCAGAAAGAAAACTGCTGATAGAGACGTCTGGCGATCTCTCTGGCAAACCTCTACACCCCAAGGTAGAAGAGGAGCGACTAAGTAAGTAAGTAAGTAAGTATATTGGCCACGGGATATCCCTTAGACCAATACGAGCCAACCACTCAACATTATTATTTCAGAGTGCTGTTGGTTCTTAAGGAGAAATCCTGATATCAGGCATGTGACAGGAGTGGTACGTGACAGGGGGAGGGGGTTAGGGCCAGTTTTAGATGTTGTGGGGTCCTTAAACGCGGTGACGTTGTGTAATATAGAACAAACGACATCCCGGTGACAGCACCGGAGACAAAACAACATGACATCCCTGTAACATAGATTAGCCCGTGTGACAGATGAGCAAGCATGAATGAAAGGTCAACCAGTGTATATTTGAGACGAAAAACGTCATAAGAACCACTTATTATATCAAAGCAATATTTCCCTGTTGTAAAAAACTATAGATTTTACAACTTATTGCCTAACGTAAATAATTTATAAATTTCAAACATTTGGAGCAGCCCTAATGTAGCGGCTATATGCTTGCCTGCGGATCCAGATGTCATGGGTTCAAATTATTGTGGAGAGTGATATTTGTATCAAACATGGCTCCCAGGTATGCGACCCAGACTTTATGTGTACACAGTAAATTGTTCGGAAGTAAAGACCAGCGGCGTGCTGTTGACCACAAAATGCGGTCGACATTACGCCTGCCACCTTTAATTCCCAGAACTTTACTTGGAACACATAAAGGCTGAGTCGCATGCCTGGAAGCTAATGTCAGTTTTTAAAAAAAAAATCCGACTCGATGCATTTGATCACAAGACCTTCGGACTCTCAGGCGAGCGTCCTGTCTCTACAACAGAGCGGCTGCCTTGTTTACTTATTACAGATGTGTGTGTCTTGTCCATCAAGATGATGATGACCACTCTTTTTCATCAGGTATGAGTACGAAGATGACTGATGAGGTCGATGCGGGCCCGAAAAGCTCTTGGTCAGTGAGGACAGGGAATGAGCGTTGTGCCAGGGAGGAGATCTCCTGCAGTCGCCTTTCTGTCCATCCTTTTCTGAATAAGTCTTGCTGTTCTGTTTGCTTCACATGTAGCCGCGCCCTTGTGTAGAGCTGCACCCCATGCATTTCGGTCTTGAGAGGCAGCCTCCCATTTGGTGTCATTTATCCCAAATGCTTTGAGTGAAGACTTCATGGTGTCCTTAAAGCGTTTCTTTTGCCCGCCTTGGGAACGTTTCCCATTTTGCAGCTAACCATAGAAGAGTGTTTTTTTTTGGAGCCTGTGATCTGGCATGCGTGCCACACGACCAGCCCAACGAATTTGATTATGCATCAGTAGAGTGTGGATGCTGGGAATGGCTGCTTTCTCAAGGACTACGGTATCAGGTACTTTGTCTTGCCATCTGATATGCATTAGTTTTCTAAGGCAGACTGTGTGAAAGTGGTTTAACTTTCTAACCTGGCGCTGGTAAACAGTTCATGTTTCGCATACGTACAGCAGTGTAGTTAATACAACTGCTCTGTATACTGTGAGCTTTGTCTGCAGGGTTATGCCACTTCTGTTTCAAACATTTTTGTACAATCTGCTAAAGGCAACGCTAGCCCTAGAGATCCTTGCATTTACTTCGTCATCAATTGTGGCACTCTGGGAAAGGGTGCTGCCTAGATAAGTAAATTTACTGACAACGTTTAATCTGTAGATTACAGATAAAATATAAGTTTATATATATATATATATATATATATATATATATATATATATATATATATATATATATATATATATTCCCGCACACACAGAGAGACGATCGACGTCTATGGCTTAGGCGTTGCGCACTCGCTTCGTAATGCCTGGGTTCCGGGTTGGATGCCAGCTGCAGGCCTTGAGCCTTGCGCTGGTTTTGACAGAAGTATCGAGAAGCCGACCGTCCAGTGACAGTGACAAACTACTGGACGTAAATTTGCCTGGAAAAACCACAACAGCCACACATATATAACTCTTTCTCGAGAAGACTAACCTGACAAGAGTAACCAGCACTTCCACGTTTGCGGATGCATTTAGCGTTGACATGGCACTTGGTACCATCGGGACACACGTTGGCCGATCTGTGGCAACCAGCTGACTGATTGCCAGAATATCCTTCTAGACATGGGCCGCAGATTCGGGAACCCTTCAGGAATAGGAGGAAAATCAAGGTAACAGCAGTTTGGTTCAGTAAGAGAACCAAAATGTTCTTTAATACAGTTTTTTTTTCCCACCTTCAGAATTTCTAAATGAAACAACTGTTATTTTAAACCAATATATATATATATATATATTTTTTAAATTCAAGTAGTTCAAATAAAACCACATAAAATAGAACAACTTATAAGGAACTGTGGGGGGAAAACATATACTGAAAAGAATAATGAATAAACTCATTGTGCGTTGCTTGTTCCTGAGGATTCTGTAGGGCAGTGGCTCTCAATCCTCATAATGCCGCGACCTTTTCATACAGTGCCTAATGTTATGGTGACCACAGCCATGAACTTATTTTCATTGCTACTTCATAACGTCAGTGAATGTGTGTTTTCCAATGGTTTTAAGTGACCCCTATGAAAGGGTCCTTGGCCTCCAAAGGGGTCGCGACCCACATGTTGAGGTGAATTTATAAGTCTACAAAACAAAACATTCTATTAGTTAGTCTTTTGGTATGATGGGGAAGGAGGTGTAACAAATAACAATTATACATATAAACCCTAATTACCAAAATTCTGAGATTAAAAAGTATGTTATTTTTTAAATCTTTATAGCTGCAAGATACCAGTTCAAATATGAAGAAATGGCTATAACAAAATTTAGATTGTGGTTTGAACATTTAAAAAAAAGGAGGAAAAAAATCACGATTATTGTTAAAATGTGTCTGGAAATCTGAAATATGGATGTAAAATGAAGAGACTCGCTTGTAATGATTCTTCAAGTACAAAATCATATTGAAGGTTATCGAACAAAAACGATAGACGGCGATACAAACTGGAGGATTAGATTAAGAAGTGGAAGAACCGCAGAATTAGAGTGAACAAGCGGGGGGGGGGGGGGGGGGAGACTTAAGGTCCACTGCAGTCAATCTTCATTGTGGACGCGAAGCCAGAATATATGTGACATTTTCCTTTTATAAAACGGTAACTGCCATTTCTTTAAAAACATGCAGTATTTGCACAATGCCGAAATCCATAGTACAAAATGAGTAATTTCTTACCGGAGTGTTTGTACATAGGGAATTCTCCACACAGCCACCATTGTTGCCATCAGCACACTCGTTAATGTCTTGACACACCTAGGGAGAATTGACATTACTATCAACAATGTTAAGCATTCCTTGGATGTCAATGACTTTTTTAGTTTTTGAGAAAAGTCTTCCAGGGGTTTTCTTTCCTGCTTGTAAAAAGTGTATGTTAGTAGAATGTGGTCTATTGTGTTTTCCTAAAATCCTGCATAAGGGTGCTGTAAATTTGGCTTTCCGGTATTCAAGTTTTATTCTCCATAATTTGCTATTTCCTGGAACTTGTGGGTTGTCTGAGACTTGGGATGTCAGAGCGGGTTCTTCTGTCTGTAGCACTCATTTCCTATTGTCTCTTTATATATACGGTTTGATTTAACTCTTCCCCTCAGTTTAAAAATATCCGTCATTTCATAACCGACTATGCCTTTGTGCCCTGGAACCAGTGCTATGGTAACCCGGCATCTGTTATTCCTAAGTTGTGTGGTTAGTGTTAATATCTCCTCTTTAATGTCTTACATACTTTCCTTTGTATAGTTTCCTAGTTATTATACCGATGAAAGTGAATTTGTTTTTTATCGTCAATTTCATGGAAATGTGGGGGGTGTAGGGGGTGGAAAGGGGGAGGGGGGATTTTCTGCTGATATCTTCAAGGCTTTTATTATGCCGACTAGTTCGCTGTGAAAACTGACGTATGATCTGTGATTTTATGAGATTTCTGTATTTTCCACTCTGAGGATTTGATCATTTACACAGACGGTTCAGTGTCAAGAGGCAAAAGAAGTGCTTGGGGCTTTTTAGCAAAAGCTAATGGTCGACGTTTGGTGCAGAAGAGCCTAGCATATGATACCACAACATCCAGCTTAAGAATGGAGGTGGAGGCGGTCACTGCAGCTTTCCGCTGGCTAGAGAACACGACACACACACACATTATAATTGTAACTGATTCAGAAAGTATGCTGAGGAAGATCAGAACAGGTATGCTTCGTGCAGAGTGGCATGCTTCGCTGCGGAGGACACGAGTGAGGAGTATCGTCTGGAGGTTTTCACCGGGTCACGCTGGTGTGTTGGGAAATGAACAGGCGGACAGACTGGCTGGCTCTGCACAACTTGGTGGAATATTGCTACATGATAGGGCAGACGTGGTTAGTGCCTTGTGGGAGAGCGTGTACAATGCGGAGGAGCAGATGGATCACCACAGTCTGGTGAGATTTATGCAGTTGGGGGTGACGAGAGGTTCTGGCAGAAGCTCAAGGCTCAGAGGAAAGGCAAGACGGACGTTTAGTCAGAAAGCTACTGGCATCATTAGTATCGGAACTTCACTGGCTGCTGAAGATGGGGACCGAGCGCTTATGGAAATGCCCCGAGTGCTGTGATGTCGGTTCTTGAATCAAATCAAATCAAATCAAATCAAATGTATTTTCCAATAAGGAATAAAACCTCATGTTCCTACTTCTCCTTTCTCATTTTTGGATCTATCCGTGTATGTTACCATGTTATCAGTTTCAGTGTTTCTAATGTGCTTCTCTGCTATGATCCTTACTTGTAGTATATCAGTATTTTGTTGAATCTGTTTTGCCAGGCTCATGGCTACGTGCACTGGATCGCAAATTATTCTTCATAGGACGCTTAACGGCAGAAGTGGTTAATGGTGATGATATCTACATATGGAGGTTTCATTCCCAAGGTGGTATCTGAGGTTTATACAAGTATATCTCTTTCTCAATACAAGTTTCCTTGCTAGTCCCTTACTAGATTTTATTTCTACTGCAGCATCCCATCCTGCTGTACTAAGAACGTTTCTTATTGACACCTCCTTGAACTTGTTTGTACTGGTGTTAAAACAATCACATGTTGGATGATCATGACTCTGTGTGGTCTTAAGCCAGTAATCTTGCAATAACTGCTTCCTTCTTAGATTTAACGGTGCTATAACCAAGCGCTACTTCCATTGCTTCTCTTGATGTCTTCTCTTGCTGTCTTCTCTTGATGTCTTCTCTTGCTGTCTTCTCTTGCTGTCTTCTCTTGCTGTCTTCTCTTGCTGTCTTCTCTTGATGTCTTCTCTTGATGTCTTCTCTTGCTGTCTTCTCTTGCTGGCTTCTCTTGATGTCTTCTCTTGCTGTCTTCTCTTGCTGTCTTCTCTTGATGTCTTCTCTTGATGTGCCTTTACCTGCGCCCATAATGTTGGCCCTTGCTTGGCACTGAATACTATATAGTTTACTTTTTTGTGCAATCAGTTGCTGAGTCATAGACAATGTTTCCATATTCTAATGTCCCTCTCAAGAAAGACTTAATAAAATTGTAGGAGAGTAGCTTGGTGAGCTCCCCATCCATTACCTTTAATTATTCTTAAAAGGTTGCTTATTCATTTACATTTGTCTACCGTAGTATCACTATGTTTGCCCCAGTTCAGCTGTTCCATGTGGCCAAACTATCCAGTTAACCATTCTTAATCTTTATTTTGTTCATTTTTAATCATTGAAGGTTGTCACCAACTTTGTAAGTGTTTTCCTTTCAATTTCGTGTTCACAAAATTGTGAGCATATATGCATACATTCTATAATATAAGATGTTTTAGATACAAACCTGTTTAACTGCCTGCACGGCTTCGAGACCCACACCTCTTACTTCAGGGCTAGTGTACCCAGGTGGACAAGCACCACACCTGAAACCAGGACTTAGGTTCTCACAGGTGGTGAGGTTATCGCATGGATTGCCCAGCTGGCACTAGTGAGATGCAAACAAGTGTTTCTACGTGAAAACTATTGGAAAGTAACAAGAATAAATACTGTCTACACATTAGAAATAACTCTAGTATAATGTTTCATTTGGAAACGCTCAGAATGTGCTACGCTCACTATATAAGTAATTCTAGCAAGGTTCTTTTTCAACTACAAATATATTATTCTATCTTAATTACAAATATGAGGTTATATTTTAATATAAAAAGTAGAATCGACCACCACACCATTGACTAACTGTGTTGTTCATGGTCATGAACATAACACACTTATAATAGTCACAATAATGCAAGATCACAAAAGTAGACAATTCATGGATATATTGGAGACCCAGTGTTATGTGTACGAATGACAATGTACCAACTGAACAAGTTATTTTCTTCTTCTTCTTCTTCTTCTTCTTTCTTTTTCTTTTTCATCTTCTTCTTCATCTTCATCTTCTTCTTTTTCTTCTTCTTCTTCTTCTTCTTCTTCTTCTTCTTCTTCTTCTTCTTCTTCTTCTTCTTCTTCTTCTTCTTCTTCTTCTTCTTCTTCTTCTTCTTCTTCTTCTTCTTCTTCTTCTTCTTCTTCTTCTTCTGCTTCTTTTTCTTCTTCTTCTTCTTTTTCTTCATCTTCTTCTTCTGCTGCTGCTACTGCGGCTACTTTCCTTCTCTTCTTTTCTCTATTCTGCTTCTTCTGGTGCGTATTTTGCTGTCAGATATCTCCTGTTGGAGTTTATTCCTGCAAACAACTTACATTATATCATCTCTTAACTTTTCCGATTCTCTTTTCTGTGTGTGTTAGCTCTCTGTTTGCGTTTTTGGTCCTGTGGATTCTAATGAAAGTATCATTTTAATCACACTTTTATCTCGTTTTCCTAATGTCTTATACAGTGCCAGCGTTTTTTCATTTTAAATGGTTCCCTTTAATTTGTTCAATTCTGTCTTTTCTTGACCTTCATATCAGTGGTTGATTTATACACTGGTACTATTTATTTCTACCAGGTCGACTCAGCCTTAAATGGGTACCAAGTAAAATCCTAGGAAGTAAAGGCGACAGGCATGATAATGATCACATTTCCCCCCCCCCCCCCCCCCCCCCCCCCCCCCCCCCCCCACCAAGTGCCGCTTGGTCTATAGAAATATAGGTCTAGCTCTCTATTCCCAATACGTCTGGCGTGGAAAGGGGACCTTTACTTTACACTCGGTAAGTAATTTGGTAGGTCGCCTTAAATTTCCAGGACGTTAGCTGTTGCTCATTTTAGGCTGGGTCAACCTTGACAAGAACCGATGTCGTCGTCGTAAAATGACAATCCTCATACTTTAGAAATGTCTGGGGAAGGTGAAAACTGACGAATCTTGAGAGAATGAGAAAGCTGAAGAGGAATGAGACCAGAGCGAGGCCTAATAAAAAAAAAAAAAGAATATGCTGGATATTTTAGCATCATGGAGAAGAAGAAATAGTGTATCAGAAATGATTGTTGCTGCATGTGAAAGATGGCTGTTGACTGACATATTATTAGCTCTACATAGCACTGACTATCAGAAGAAGACGTGTATTAGTATCTGTTGAAGTTGTCCCCATGAGAAGGAAGCAACAAGCCCAGAGACGGCGCAAATACTAAAACTTAGTCACGAAAGTGACGCGAAAAAACCAGACCACAAATATAGACGGAGACTGTTAGCAGCCTCAGCTAACTAGCAGCAGTCTGAAAGTGGTCAAACTGGTAATTTTTTTTTCTCAAAAAGAAAAGGAATCGGAAATCCCCATTGTTTCTGATAAACGCGAACAAGAAAACTTTAACCCCCACTAGGGCGGCAAATTGAGTGTTTAACGCACAGTAACGTAAAATAGAAAGTGACCCTATTCGGATGATAATCCGCCAGGTACAAATCACAGGAACCTAGTTCAACCGTAAAATTATTTTGGGAACCCTGACTTCTTTGAAGCTGAAACACTATAGAAAGATTATGATAATATCTTGGACAAAGAAGAGGAAAAATACTGACATCTTGAAAGATCTGAACATTAGGGCTAATAAACAGCATCCTGTTTCGGAAACTGAAATATTTTGGTCGTATCAAGCGCCACCACCTACTGGAGAAAATTATAGCAGAAGGCATGTACCGGAAAGGAAGGGCAGGGGCCGACCAACACGAACATCAACACAGGAAATAAGTGACTCCTTGAGTATGAAAGTACATGAAGCGGGAGAGCTAGCGAGAGACCAAGTTTCTTTTAAGCAAACAGTGATGACAGTGACGTTCTGCAAAAGACCTGCTACATGATGATGATCTTCAGGTTACTGTATAACTATCATCGGGTAGGACGACTTCCATTACATACGACGGTTTCTTACCTCATTTATATCATAACAGTGCGTCCCGTTCCCGGTAAACCCTAGCGGGCAAGGGCCACATATAAATCCAGTAGATGTGTCTTCACAAGAGACTCCCGGGAAGCAGGGTCTGGAGTTGCATGTGCTCCTCTCCGGGCGGCAGCCAGACCGAGTTCCTTCACCTACAAATCCCAAAGGACACGATCCACACCTGTATCCTCTCTGGGAGTCTTCACAGCGTACACCTGGAAGCATGAGACAGACACATATTTGGGCTTTGTAAAATTATGATAAAGGCTTAGAATAGCACTTATCAAAGCTAGAGGAATCCTGTCCATACTACAGTACCCTTTACTGAGCAGGTTTCACTTTGTCGGTTTCCTTGCTCATCTGTTCTTTATACATTTCAAAGTGGTACGCCTAAGTACTAAGACTGTACCGAATAGTGATTTTCACTATTCGACCGAATACGATTAACGGGACCAACTATTCGGCCGAATACGAATAGTGTATAGTCTATAAAATATATCTTTAAAAAAAAAACACACACACACATTCATAACGTCAAATGTATGCTGAAATTTTACTTCAAATAAAGTAGCACATATTAAACATCTTCTTGTTTAGCATTCTGAGCCCTTGAGGTTTATTGCTGCAGATTATCACTCGTCTCCATCGTCTCTCTGGCTGGCCTTCTCTTCACAATATGTGACACCAGCTGTTTGCAGGTCTGGCTGGACATTATTTCTCGAACTTTTTTTTTTTGTCTGCCTCGTGGTCTACGCCCATTCCTCTCTCAGGTTTTACTTCTCCGTCATCTGACATTTTTTCAATATGCGACAACCATTTTAGTCTGTTAGCTCTCAGGATGAAAGTGATCAATGGTGATTTAAACAGATTATGTGTTACGTTGTTGCTTCTCACTCTCCATTCCCCGCTGTTAGCATCTTTGATGGGTGCAAAGATTTGTCGTAAGACTGTTTTCGGAAACCTGTAATAAGGCCTCATCTCTTTTATTTCTGCTTCAAGTTTCAGAGCCAAATAAAACGACTGGTCTTATCGACGTTTTATATATGTTGATCCTTGTGTTGCGACACAGCACTTTGACTTTAGCAGATGTTGAAGGGCATAGTATACTTTATTTCTAGATTGTATTCTAGATTGTATTTATTCTTTCATTCAGCCTGTTGGAGCCGTTAAAGTTTGCACCCAAGTACTTATATGTATCCTTTCGTTTGATTTTCATGTTATCGACTTGGATGTGGCCGGAGTTTAATTCTTTCCATGTCTAATTAGTATTCGTACAAAATAGTGAACATTTAAAAACATTTTATGTTTTGCATCCTTCAGTAATTCTGTGGTAAATAATAACTAGGAATGAAATAATCCTAAATATTATACCAAGTAACTAAACTTGGAAATTGTCACTGACAGCTTAGTTAATGCATGAAAGCTGCATTAGCTTTCAACAAAACCAATAATTACGTGTTGTCAGTGTTAAGGCCGTGTATGCAGAAGCGGGTGTAAGGGAACTACTATTCGTATTCGGCCCGACCGCAACTATTCGGCCGAATACCGAATAGTCAATAGGTCTACTATTCGGCCCCGAAGCGAATACGAAGCGAATATTCGGTACAGCCCTACTAAGTACTACATAATGTATACACTTCTGTAGTTTAGTATTATTTCGTTTTATTTGTTTACATTAGTACCATTGGCACCATTAGTATCGGAACTCTTCACTGGCTGCTGAAGATGGGGGCGGAGCGCTTATGGGAATGCCCCGATTGCTGTGATGTCGGTTCTGGAATCAAATCAAATCAAATCATTTGTTTACATACTATTTAAATACCGTAATGTTTTTATTTCAGACAGTTCATTTTGTGTGTCTATTGTATTTTGTTTCTGACCGTTATTCTGCTGAAGAAAGCTAATTGTCGCAACGCCTTCTGTTTACTGTAAGTGGTTTTGTAAAGCTGACATATACTTCATTCTTACTATTGTATGTCTAATCTTTTCGTAATGTTTTGCAAACCGTTATACAAAATTGTAAGCCTCCACACAGTGGGATTTTTCTTGGTACCAGTTTTAGATGAATCCACATGGGAGCAGGTGGATATCCAATATATGTCTTGATGGTAAAAGTAAAGATAAAGTCAGGAGATGTGAACCATCGTCATTGCACACGGTTATAAACCATAAGTGCTCTGCCACCAGTACAGACAGCTGATAAGAATTGTCCGGCTGTTTTTCGAACGTAACTCTGTAGCTACAGTGACGTTCCTCCATTTACCCCAAGAGTCAGCTTTGGTACCCATTTCCTAGAGGCTGGGTGAGCTCCTGGAGCCGCCCGGTTTCGAACACCGGCCGTGGGCTGCAGCGAGTCGCAGCTGGATTTTAAAGCGAGTATCTTATCGACTGTGCTAACGCGGCCCCCTTGATGGTATTCGAGTCAACGTCCACGGGGCTGAAGAAAAGCAAACTTTTGGATACGTTGCGTGGTTATCAAGCCGCTTTTAACTTCGTATGATATTTACTGGTAGCAGTGTTTCTGCTGGGCAATCCTGAACGGTCAAGCAAAGTTGACGTATATATTCCCACATCAGTCACAACAAAGTGCTAATGATCATTGCAGGATTCTATTCAGATTTACAATGAAATAAACGGTTAACTTATTTCGTCTTCTTCTTAGCGGTCAATGCTGTAAACTCCGCCGGGAAGTTTTTATTGCTCGTCCACTTCTGGACTGTGGTCTTTTTCAGGAACTAGAGTTTCAACCGCACATCTGTTTTACAGAGCTGGCTTACCTATATGTAGTATGTTGTTATCTGCATAGTACTGACTTTGTGATATGAACGTTTGAAAGAGACCACTGTGGTGTTAGTTGTAATTTCCTGGGAAGCCACATCACCCACTTAGTGCTCATTGGACTATAAAATATAGGTCTAGCGCTATATAAAAAGTAGGCGTGAAAGACGGGTCAAAGCGTCCTTCACTTATTGTTATTAACCTTATAAATGGAGTCGCATAAATATATTACCAGCTAACGGTTGATTGCTGCAATATATGCTTTCAAATTTGATTAGATTACCCGCATCTGAAGTAGCCAAGGGTTCTTTTGGTTCATGTTAATCTAATAAACTGGTCAAATAGATTGTTAGCCTTTTAATAATTTTTGTTTGGCTGCACTTGGTGGATTCAAACTGTCACAGTTTGGAACTCTATGGACGTGGCCAGTGAGTCGAAAAGTTGATATATAGCCCAGTGCAGTAGAACTCGTTTTCTTTGGCTTAACGTTCTGTGGCGGTGAGACTAGATACATGTAGTCTTACCCATCGGTTGCGGAGCCGTACAGGGTTCTTAGCGCAATGTAGATTCGGGGGATCTACGTCCAGAGATGAACTGGCTCACTGGTTTTGTGTTGTGACGGTACGTTCAGTAGACATATTGTGTTAGATCTGGATTTCTGTGTGCATCCTCGCGCGGATAATTTCTTTTTTAAATTATAGGTCGAACTAAAGTGGAGGCGAACTCTCATCTTTGTTAGCTGGAGTTGTTAGCACATTGTCTTTTTTAACATGGTGTTGATTGTTAATGTATTGTTATTTGCGAAGCACGCTAGTTTTGTCTCCCACAGAATATACAGATATTGAATGTAAGGGTTATAGTCCATTTTTTTAAAATTCAGAATAAAACTTGTAGTTCGGGCACGTGGTCTGACTAAGTGCTGCCTAAGTGATTTTATGTTGCCGTTATTGTTCTTCAACTTACTATTCACATTTTCACTGCCCGGGTCAGAAAAATATATCATGGTCCTTGCACTAGAAGAACCTTTGTCTTTAATTCCCTTTTCCTGTTTTTGTTTTTTATGCAGTCCAGCGGGGGACTACTTATTGTTCTAGCCACACATCTTTTTTCGTCTGTCTTACTGTTTCCCCTTCTTCACTTTTCTCTAGCTCATTAAGAATGAGAAACCTGGAGAACCTTGTCAGACTGAGAAATCTAAAAGAAAGGAAATACAGAAAGAAACAAAGAAAAAGCGGATAACAGACTGTGCTGCGTGGAAGAACCTTTCTCTAAGGTGCCTAAGCTTTGTATACGTAATTAAATTAACAACAACAACAACAACAACAACAATAATAATAATAATAACAGTAGTAATAATAAAACAATAATAATAATAATAATGTGATAAATGTCAAATATACCACTGGTGTACTCTTGAAATAGTATTATATTACACACACACACACACACACACACACACACACACACACACACACACACACATACACACTTAAAATTAAACTTTACGCGCTGACTTTCCCTAAAATGTTTTGCGGGAAGGGGGTTGTTAGAGTTACCGCGCTGAAGCCCCTAGGTGCTGGCGCCTCTGCCTGGGAATGTCATTCGCTCAATTATGTTAGTACACAGAGTGTAAAGTTTCACGAAAACTAGAAAAACGTGTTCACAGGTTTCGTTTAAACCTGACCTGGGTTTCGGGACAAGGTGTTCGAGGTGTAACTTTTGGTGCTTGTGGTCAGTAGAAACTCGCGTTACACAAACGCACACACCTACATACCTACCTACATACATACCTACCTACATACCTACCTACATACCTACCTACATACATACCTACCTACATACCTACCTACATACATACATACATACTTACCTACCTACATACCTACCTACATACCTACATACCTACCTACCTACCTACCTTTCTACCTACCTACCTACCTACCTACCTACACACATACATACATACACACACACACACACATACACATACATACACACACACACACACATACATACACACACACACACACATACATACACACACATAATACCTGCATACCTACATACCTACCCACATACCTACATACCTACATACTTACATACCTACCTACATACCTACATACATACATACCTACATACATACATACCTACCTACATACATGCAGACAGACAGACAGACAGACAGACAGACAGACAGACAGACAGACAGACAGACAGACAGACAGACAGACAGACAGAGAGACAATTGTATCAGAATGGAAGTGGGATCGGAATAGCAACAGGATCAGAATGGAAGTGGGATCAGAATGAAAGTGGCATCAGAATAGCAACTGGATCAGAATGGAAGTGGGATTAGAATGGAAGTGGGATCAGAATAGCAACTGGATCAAAATGGAAGTAGGATTAGAATGGAAGTGGGATCCGAATGGAAGCAGGAAACGTGAAAGTATTACCTGGGTAGCATGGCCTATCCGCGCAGGTCGTCTGTCTCCTGCAAGCAGTTCCGTCGCCATGGTGACCGACAGGACAGGGTCCACACTTAAAACCGCTCTCTGTATCCAAACAGTGAACTCCCGGAAAGCACGGATTGGAGGAACAGTGCCGTACAGTGTGCGTGGGTGGTCGGCCATCGTTACCTGAAGATACAAACACTGTTGTAGATGACAATATCTGCACACAATTAATGCTGTTTTTTTTTTTTATATAATTCGTTATCCAGTTCATTAATTACAGCACTCAAGCACGCGTAGCTAAGATAAATAAGGACCCCTCCTGCGCCTTCAGGCGTATTGGGCATATAGGGCTAGACCTATAAGTAAAAGTAAATATTGGTGCTTGTATGTTTAATCCCCCCATGTAAAAAATCGCGGGACTGTCTAATATTTTAGGTAACATAGGGTTTTCCAAAAATAGACAAGAGCGATTTTTCATGGCAAGCGTGCGTGTTCGTCTTTGCGGTAGGGTGGGTAGGGGGAGAAAAGGGGGGTGGAAGGGTGGGGGAGGGGTTTGGTTGGCGCCTTTCTGACTGGGAAGGAGCGAGCACTATATTGTTAGTGTTGCCACTTTGGATGTTTTACATCCAGACCTAGATGTATTATGTTTCTGATGTAATTCTAGATGGTTTTCATATGGAGTTAAGACATTTCATTGATTTTTTTCTTTCAGTGTCACTTTTTGGTCAGGGCACGTGTATTGTGGTAACGGCAATTAAACCACTTAAGCGTCGTGGGGAACGGGGGGGGGGGGGGGGGGGGGAAGAGAAATTTCGATCCAGTGCATTTGTGCTTTGTCATCATCATCAGCTACTTCTGCCGTTAAGCGCCGTGGGGAGGAATAAATTGCGATCTAGTGCATCTGTGTTTTATCATCATCATCATCATCCACTCCTGCCGTTAAGCGGCGTGGGAATGAAAAATTTGCGATCCAGTGCACGCCGGGTTGTTTTGTGTATTAAAGGAAATTAGAACAGCTAAAACACACCAGAGTCATTTTGGATCTAACGCTTCAACTTCATCATCGAAGCAAAGTTTATCCTATGGATTTTGTTAGACAGACATCAGTGAAGATGAGGACATGATTGTATAGGGTAAATTCAAATCAATAGCTATTTAGTTTCTCTTCTTCTTCTTCTTCGCGTTCATCAGCTGTACACTTTGGCAGAAAGTTCTGGTTGCTCGTCCACTACTAAACTGCAGTCCTGCTCCAGAACCTGAGTGTTGCGCGTGCATCAGTTTTACAGATCCAATTCTCTTAAATACAGACTGTTGGTTCCTTGCCTCTCCGGCAGATGCACTCCGACTTCAAAGGAAGCTCCACAATTAGTCGACTCTTACGACATGCTTTTGGGGAGGCAGTGAGTCTATTCTTGTTTTCCCCACAATGGGGCCCTGGAACCCACGAAGGGGTATTTAGTTTCTGATTGTTTCCATTTGGATGTTTTTTCTTCTAGATTTTCCTGCTCAAACCCAGATATTTCTAGATATTTTTGACATGTTTCTGGATATTTTCTGTGAAAGAAAAGTGGCAACACTGTTGGCGCGTCTTCAATTTTGGCGCAGTATTGTGTGTCATTCATTCCCGGGACGTCTCTCCAGCAACTTGTGTGCTACGTCTTCCGTCTCCAACGCAATGAGTTTCTTGGAATTAGCAGCATCCGTGCCTGACAAGGACTGTTGTGTCAGTTTCCTGCAACATCATGGTATTCTCCATAGCAGCAGGTTTTGTCGCAATAATCATGCGATGCTGTTATCCCTGACTGACAAAGAAGATCGGTGGCGGTGTCGGAAATCAACCTGTCGTCTGGATATACCATTGCGGAAAGGGACATGGCTGCAAGGGTCACGCCTGTCTAACAGACAAATCATTCTGTTTTTATATTACTGGTCGCACGAGTTGACAAGCATTCGATTTTGTCAAGTAGAGCTGGGCATGTCACAGACTACAGCTGTGGATTGGAGCAACTATATACGGGAAGTGTGTGCTAATACATTATTGTTGCATCCTACAGTGATCGGCGGAGAGAATACCACTGTGGAAATCAGTTTATTACACAAGTTACACATTTCTTGCCTGCTTTGCTAAAAGAAAAATCATCGCCTTTAACCAGCATTCCCGAAAAGGGTGAGTGTGGGGTGGGAGCTTTAGGTTATAACTGTGACTAGGTTTTGTGCGCTATATAAAATGGCTGAGAATTTCACGCCAACAAAAGCCCGGAAAAAGACTCTTGCAGTGTTGTTGCGATCAAAGGAGACAGACCCAAATACTGCCCCGACCGGCGATGAAGTCGTCTACCGGCGAGCCAATGGGCGACCGGTGGCCAATGATACAGGATTGTCACAACACACATTATTTCATTATTAGAAATGATCAACAGTAACTTACAACACTTACGGTTTCTGCATAAGTCACATGAAGCCAAAACTTCTCGCATAGCCCTAGTTTCTTGCGTCTATAGAAGAATACAGCATGGTCATTAAACACATGACTTTACCTTCGCAAACACTATTTTAACTATAAATCTGAGTATAGTACGGTTACAAACACAAGAACTGAGCACAACTGCGAAATAAAAGAAACAGACATGCACTCACACAAAAGCAGAAAGTTTCGACTAGTATTTGTCAGGAATAAAATATTTTTTTTTAAACAATCTAAGAAAAGTGGCACATTAGGATGTGACAATTCAAAACGGCTCTGAGGTGACTACCCGGTGTGAATAACCAGGTAGCGAACAGTTTGTCACAAAAGTCACACTGTTTTTTAACTTTCTACTCCTGCCGTACACTTGCTAGACTGACAGGCATATATCACCCTTCTAGGCCTTTATTTACCGATGAATCTCTATAGGTTTCAGAACTTCACTAATGTTAAAAAAAAAACGGTCAACAGAAATTCGCTCTTTTTTGATGCATGTCAAAAATGGGGCAACCGTAGTTAAGCTGTCATTACAACGTCACTGTGTTCGTCTGGACCACAATACGAAATGCTTAACATTCTTGATATCCTTAACAACAATACTGACATGTTTAAAGAAAATGGCGTGGATACTGTAATTTCTGTTTCTGTCACATTTGTCACATTTGTCTAGCGACTGCACTATTCCCCTGCTGTGATGAGCTAAAGATGTGGAATCACTCAGCAAACGAACGTAATGTTACTCTTTCTATCGACTAATATTCAGTGAGATTGTTGCAAATTTTAATAATGGATAGCAATAGTTTTGTTTGATAGTTAAATACTAACTGTCGTTAAAAAGCTGCTTGGCATGACACCCTTCTTATGTAGTGCTGCTCAGTGGCTAGCACGCGTACCTGCCTACTTCATGGTAGCTTCTTAGCTTCGAATTCCCCCCGCCTTCACACTTCCCTTCCAATTCAGCAGGATTTTACAAATTGCCATTGACTCTCATATATGACTGAGCCTAAAATTAATACTGGGAGAAATGGAAAACAAACGGTGTGATATGAACCATACCACACAACAACTGCCAGTTAATCTGTTAAAATATATGGCGCTCACAATATGCCCAATAAATTTTACAGCCTACAACTTTTTTGTTTCTTTCTAAAAACAAAAATAAAGGGCAAATTTTACGCTGTGGTTATTGGGGCATGTGATGCTAAAATCATATCTTATAGACCAATCGGCATTCGATGTGTGATATCTAAAAATCTGGCTTTATTTATGAATTTCTAAAAAGACATTGCCGTTACGTTTAGTGTGTGTCAGCATTCGTAAAAAAAAAAAACTATTTTGTTCCCCTTGGTGCTGAACTGTTGTCATCTGTCACTAGTGAAATGTCTTATTTCGATTAAATGATACTGTATGTTTCCAAAGTAATATGAGAGCTGCTATGTTGACACTCGGAGATGGATATGGACAAAGGTCCAGCAATGTTGGTCGCATCTGACTGGCTGGTGCACGAGAAGGCTGCAGAATCGGACATCATACATGTTGCCATGTGGTGGTATTCTTCCCTTAAATCGTCCAACAGGCTCGCATGTGGAAACATCTTTGGCACGATCATCAGTCAGTGTTTTATGGAAATGCTTAGTGTCTACACTTCAACACTTGTTGATAAGAGCTGGGTACGTAGAATTCTTTCAAAAGTATCACCATATTAAATCTGGGGAACTAGTAAAGAAAGAAATCAAATAATAATCCAAGGAGTTACCTGCATCTTTAGCTCCATCCTCATTTCTAGCAGTGTTCGAGTCAGTTCTTGTATGGCGGTTTGCAGTGATCCACAACTTCCTTTCTCTTCGGTACGTGAAGGACATAGGCAAGAATGAAATATGTGCATTACATGGCCGATTTAATTAGTATTGAAGTACTTTAAGCTATTTTACCACGATTAATGAAGATAGTACACCGTTTTAAATACTTTTACTCTGGTGTAATCACTAATTCATCACTCTGACGTACCAGTCTCTTATAAACAGAAAAAGAAAATAATCAAATCGATTAAAAAGAAACCAAAACCGGTAGAAGACGATTACCATATTATGGACAGACCAGAGCATGTTATTATTCTAGGCCTAAGAACAGGACACACTCGACTTTGCAGCCACGTGTACACAAAATTTTTTAATCGATGAATCAGCCATGTGAACATGAGACCATGGATCATGTCCTCCAAGACTGTCTGTCCCAAATACAACATATCAAGGCAAAACTTTTGGCCAAGAGAAAAACCGGTGCAAGTCAAACTTTACGGGTCGCTGAGTGAATTACAAAAGACAGTGAAGTTCATACTAGAGAAAACATATCACATACAGATAATTGTGTCTTAGACAGACAGGCATACAGACAAACACGTGAAAAAGAATACAAAAGAAACAAGAAAGAAGTTTATAAAACAACAATAGCCAGTGGACACGTGCAGAGATTATTTTATATTTACATCTGTAAGTCTATAATAATTATTAAACGAATTAATTCTTCTTTTTCTTCTGTATGTTCTCCTACTGTAAATGACGCAGAATCTTCCATTTCGCTGGATATACTATTGTTCCAGAACGTGAGTTCTCTCTGCATATTCGTTTTACAGATCTGGCTTATTTGTATGCAGACTGTTGATTCTATGCCTCTCAGGCAGCTGCACTCCGACTTCGAAGGAAACACCCTTGTTTGTTGACTTTTACGACATGCTTATTTGAGGAACAGTAGGTCTGTTCTTTTTGTCTTCCACAAAATGGACACCACATCATATGTTAAAATTTCCCTTGAGACGTGCATATTCAGTTAACCCGAGCTTCCAGGTCGATGAAGTCTGAAATGGATACAATAAAATGTTATGTAATGTAAAGGCAGCTTGAATGACATTGGATTGATGAGTAGTGACTACTAGTGTATGCTGTTGGATTTGTTAGATTTTTACAAAAAGCAGCAGTGGACATTCTGTGTGATTTTCGTTGGCACAGGAACGGAGCAATTATAGGGTGCCCGGTTCAGTATGATGTAGGAACTGCGTTTACCTGGTTTCCTAATTATCTGATGATTAGTGCATTTGAGTATTTGATATCACCATCTGCTCAAAACATTTCTCGGCTCGGAAAGGGGTTCCCTTTTTTTTTTTTTAAATCCTTTTTATTGTGAAATCTTTCTTGGCAGTTCTTATTACTGTTTATTCATAGCAAGATGTAGTTGCGTTGTGTTGTCCGTTTACGGCGTGGCTGCGCTGTGATATTTATTTATACCTTTCGGAAGACACATTAACTTTCTCAGGTGTCTGTTGCCCGGGTTAGTCTTCCCGAAATTCCTGATGCGATGCAAAAAAGTGTCTTACTTTTGTCTGCCCAACAGTCATTTTTTTTTTTTTTTTTTTGACCATCATATACAAATATTATCGTATCTATTTTGTTTTGAATCTGTAAGGTAATATCCTATATAATCTTGTGGGTTATACAATGTATATTGTTAGATTAGATTGTATGCAAAATATCCAAAACATGTCACACATATCCGAGTTTTACCTGTGGTTGTTCTAGGAACTGGCTCATGCGGCACTAGGTCAGGGAATCTCTGCTGTTCTGTGGATCTTCTAGGAATCGGTTCGTGTCGCACTGGATCAGGCAGGCGCTGCTGCGCTGTGTTGATCCTGCTGCTTGCTGTACTTCCAATGTTAACCGAACTTGGCTCTTCAGTAGACTGTCGGTCATGGGTTCCAAATCTTTGTCGTGACCATTCAGGAACTTCTAGAACTGGTCTTGCTGTTGGTTCCGGGGCTCGTATAGTTCCATTTGGGCATCCCATAATTTCCAGCATTTCTGAGACTGATTTCCCTACATGCCATTGAAATGCTGTGGTCGTTCGCTAGTGGACATCGGATTTAAAATAAAATTTAATAATAAAATATGCTCATTTGTGTTTATCTATTAAACAAGAAAATGGCTATAACATAACATAATATATCGTCAAAACAGTTAGATCTTCTTGTGGTATGAATTTCAACGTTTCGGTTTTTAGACTCGAAGTCGGGAAAAACAGATGAGAAATTCATGTAAACTTTTCTTGGTGGAAATAAACATTTATTCCCACCCCCTCCTACCTCCACCATTCATACATAGCTAAACTTTGCGCTGTTTAAATTTCAAATTAGCAGCTAAGAAGTTGAACTTTTACACACACACACATACACACACACACACACACACACACACACACACGCATATATATATATAAATATATATATATATATATATATTAGGGCTGTGCCGAATAGTGATTTTCACTATTCGGCCGAATACGAATACGAATAGTGTATAGTGTATAAAATATATCTTTAAAAAAAATTTTTAAACACATTCATTATGTCAAATGTACGCATTCTAAGCCCTTGAGGTTTACTGCTGCAGATATCACTCGTCTCCATTCATCTCTCTGGCTGGCCTTATCTTCACAATTTGTGACACCAGTTGTTTGCAGGTCTGACTGGATATTATCTCTCGAACTTCTTTTTTGTCTGCCTCGTGGTCTACGCCCATTCCTCTCTCAGATGTATACAGTTTTTATTTCTCTGTCATCTGACATTCTTTCAATATGCCCCCACCATTTTAGTCTGTTAGCTCTCATGATGCCAGTGATCAATGGTGATTTAAACAGATTATGTGTTACGTTGTTGCTTCTCACTCTCCATTTCCCGCTGTTAGCATCTTTGATGGGTCCAAAGATTTGTCGTAAGACCATTTTCGAAAACCTGTAATCTCTTTTATTTCTGCTTCAAGTTTTAGAGCCATATAAAAAGACTGGTCTTATTAACCTTTTATATATTTTGATTTTGGTGTTGAGAGACAGACATTTTGACTTTAGCAGATGTTGAAGGGCATAGTATACTTTATTTCTAGATTGTAGTCAAGATTGTATTTCTTCTCTCAGCATGTTGGAGCAGTTGAAGTTTGCACCCAAGTACTTATATGTTTCCGTTCGTTTGATTTTCATATTATCGACTTGGGTGTGGCCGGATTTTATATTCTTTCCATGTCTAGTTGGTATTCGTAAACTTTTAAAAACATTTTATGTTTTGCATTCTTCAGTCAGTTTGTGGTAACTAATAACTAGGAATGAAAGAATCCTATGTAACTAAACTTGGAAATTCTCACTGACAGCTTAGTTGATGCAGGAAAGCTGCATTAGCTTTGAACAAAACCAATCGTTCCATGTGGTCAGCATTAAGGCAGTGTCTGCAAAAGCGGGTGTAAGGTAACTACTATTCGTATTCGGCCCGACCGCAACTATTCGGCCGAATACCGAATAGTCAATAGGTCCACTATTCGGCCCGGAAGCGAATACGAAGCGAATATTCGGTACAGCCCTAATATATATATATATATATATATATATATATATATATATATATATATATATATATATATATATATATATATATACACGCGCGCGCGCTCGCACTCACGAATGCCCACATATACACAAACACATACATGCACACACATACTGGTTTTAGAATATTGTTCTAATATAGTACACTCTCTCTGTCTCTCTCTGTCTCTCTCTCTCTCTGTCTCTCTCTCTCTCTCTTTCTCTCTCCCTCTCTCTCTCTCTCTCTCTCTCTCTCTCTCTCTTTATATTTGAAGACTTATTACATTGTTCTGCAAGTTCTCTATAAATTATTTCGTTATTTGCCAACTTCAGTGATCTCACAAGTATTATACGAAGGGAAGTCACTAAGTAAGTCACAAATGGTTGTTTAAAAAAATAAATAAAGACGATAACAGCTCAAAAACCTTTTATTTTTACACATACACTGTCCCTTTACCTTTCAACATAATTTTAACCAAAATTAACACACTTATCCCATCGTTTTAATAATCCTCCCAAACATACTGCATAAAATAGTATGCTCTGTTTTCTAAAAGACATTTTTACTTTATATTCAACGTCTGTGTGATTCATGAAATGTCTCCCGCCAAGGTAAGTTTTCAGTTGGCCATTATGTTGTATGCTTAACCATGTGAGCACCTTATTGCAGCTGCTACAGAGTCAACCGTTTCTCGCTGTCACCTCTAATCGTCTCCTTCGCCAGCTGCACAGATGCGTCAATTGCATTCTCAACAGGACGACTAGATCGGGCTTCAATAACAATTCTAGAGCGTCTCTAATAATATTTGGGGGGGGGGCGGGGGGGGGGGGGGCAGCTATGCACCGCTTTACGGGATAATCATTTGTCAGCATAACAGGAAACCTTTCCTTTTGAATGTCATCTGCAAGCAGCCCTTGTGCCCCCCCCCCCCCTTCAAACGCACATCACGTTTTTCTTTCAGCTTACACTCCGTAAGTACAGTCGCCGTTTTGTTTCTGTGTTGCGAATGCGAATGCAACACCTAGCACCACTAACGAACGGAGACATAAAGTTCGATGTTCCTCTCACCTAATGACACCGTTAGAAACACCGACTACATTTTACCTGCCATCCCATAACGATTTGTGACTTACGTATCGACTCCCCCTCGTATATTGGTGGTATGTCAGTTCTAATACAAGACAAACAAGAGTATAGCTTTTCGTCCCACAAAATCTGCGTCTTTACTAACAGCTCAAAAGGTTGAATACTTACAAATGTCATGTCTTTGGCAAAGATACGACGGAGAGGGATTTCCGTCTGATCAACCCCCATGTCCATACAGTCCAAGAACAGTCCAACACTGTTGTGTGGTTGCGATAACCTGGAAAACACCACCAGCAAGACGGTTCTCTCGTCTGTCTGCAGAGCACGTATCGGGAACCCCAGCTGATACTCACGTCCATCTTGGTCGATGGTCTGTACAATCACTAAATAGCACAGATGTATGGACACATAATCATGATAACAATTTGTTACAATATCTTATTGGACAAGTAAGGTAACATTCGTCGAGAAAAGAATCATTAAATCGATCAGGAAACCACCAGCCCCAGCACAAGACGATTATTTTATTATGGACAGACCAGAACAAGTCATTATCCTCCGCCTCAGAACAGGGCACAGCCGATTACGTAACCACATGTACACAAAATTCAAGATAGGTGTATCAGCCATGTGCACCTGTGGAAATGTGCCCCAGACCGCAGAGCATGTACTCCAGGACTGCACCGATTTGACACATTAAGGCAAACTTTTTGGCCAGAAAGAACAACAGCGGAACGTAAACTCTATGGACCACTGAATGAACTAACAACGACAGTGAAATTTATACAAAATACAAAACTGCTGATATAGACAACTTATTTCAGGCGAACGAAAAAAGATGTAAGAGAGCACTTATAATTAATGAAGTAATGGTTTAACACTAACAGTAGGAAACTAACAACAGAAGGGGAAATAGGATTACGAATATCAGCATTAGAAAGTCGGAATAAGGCCATGCCTGAAATAATTTTACAGACAAAGAATGAAATGGTTGAGCCATTTAGTGAGAATGCAGCCAGACAAAACTAAATATAAGACTTCTTTCAGCAGAACGTTTGAGAGGAATACGAGAGGAAAACAAAGAAAGAGATGGATAAATTGTGTAGAAGAAACCTGCAAAAAAGATGAACAAATCCATTGCCAAAGCCACCTGAGATGGGCAAGACATACAGAAAACCACGACACTGGGCTACAGCCTGGTATCAGTGAGTCGACAAAAGAAGAAGAAGAAAAATACAAACCCTCGTTTCAACGCTGTTCTCTTCTATGTAAACGCAATTGTGTGCGCGCTGGTGTGTATGTGTGTGTGCGTGTGTGTGTGTGTTGGGGTATATTGCACTTAGTATGCACAGTGTGTATATTGCTAAATGAACGTAGGATGTATTACACATAAAGTACTGTTTATTGTTTAGGAAAGATAATTATGGTTCGAAGGACCGATTGTAAAGGGGACCCACGTGCCCAGTCTGTGAGCCTTCATTCTTTCATCCGTTGTTTACGTCAACTTACAGACTAGCAAAAGTGTGGTCAAATGCTTGAGTCCAATGACTTACAATTGTTGAAGCATGATACTGACGTTTGATGATGACACACACTTAAAGCGATCTATTTCATTTATGTTTCTGTATCAGAAAGTGAAATTATAAAATTTACTGGATGGTAAAATACATTATTTTACCTAAAGGCAGCCGAAAAATTCCTTCTTCTTCTCCTTCATCATCATCATCATCATCATCATCATCATCATCATCATCATCTTCTTCTTTTTCTTCTTCTTCTGCTCTTAAAAATCGGTTACTAAATTGTGTTCTGATTTACAGATAGGCTGCCATATCTGCCTCTTTCGACCCATATATCAGATTTCAACAAAACTTTAATTAGTTGTGTTTTATGACATACATATCAAGGGAGGAAGATCTATTTACTTCCCCAAACAGAGCCCTGAAACCCACACAGAGATTACATCTAATCTTTTTTTTTCCTGCGTAGCTTTCACTGGCTGTAAACTCTGGCAGGAAAGTTCTGGTTGTTAGTCCGATTCTGGACTTGGGTCTTGTTGCATAACCTAGTTTTACAGATCTTACTTATTTGTATGCAGACTGTTGTTTCCTTTGTCTCTCAGGCAGATGCACTCCGACTTCAGTGGAAGCGCCCCTCTCACCCCTCCCCCTTCCATTATTTGACTCTTACGAGATGCTTGTTGGGGAGGCAGTGTCTCTATTCTTGTTTTTCCCCACAATGGGCTCTCGGAAACCACACGGGGAATTCAGTCCAGTAAATACGGAGGTTCTAGAGATTATGTGACAAGTCTAACCTTGCGGCTGTCTAAAGTCCACTGACAGCTCGAACTGAGTCCTGCTTTGTGGACTCTGAGCCAGCATGAGGACGAAAGGCCGTCTGGTGTTCCTGGGTGTGCGGAAACTGCTTAGCATGAACACATCTTCGTGTCTGGCAAACGCCGAGTGCACGTCAGACATTTCTTCTGGAAATCAAGAGAAGACACAAGCCATTAGTTATTACCTTCATTTAGTGCTCATCCTTATATTTGGAAACAAGCTTCGTAAGCAATGTATTTGTCCTAGTTGGTGTTAGTATATGAACGTTGCTCATTCTTCTGCGCTTATAAGTCCACTGAACTTCAAACACAAATCAAATTATTTTCTTATACAGCTGTCAGTAGCAATGTGTTTTCTCAAATAGGTAATGTTAGAAAAATGTTTCTTTGCCCTTTTGGATGTAGAGAAGATTTGTGAGGAGTATAATGAAGTTCCAGGACACTTAGATTTATATGCAAGTTGACAGTAAAACAAGTCATCCCTCGTGGGATGCAATTGTGAGTTATTTTGAAGCCTCACCCTGGCTTTTGCCAGTGGCCCTTCATATAGGGCCATAAATATGGCCAAGCCATAGATATGGTCTAGCGGCTGAAAGGGGTTTCTGGGACCTCTCCACGGGTGATCCTCATCCGCATGGTGGCACTTTGTGTCACCGGGTGTTTATCGCTTGTATAATGTCCTGGTGGGGTACAACTACCTACCTACCATATGCAAGTCAAAGGGAAACCATTAGACTAATCTATAAAGAAAACGTTTATCAATAATCAGAACAATAAATGTATAAAATCGTGTGGTATGTGTGTGGCTCTGTTGCTTTGGGGTTAGTGGACATTGTTTCATAACCCTCGAAGTACTAGAATTGGATTTCCATGTTCTAATGGAATGTTATAGTGGCTCTCAGGCAGTAGTAAGAGAGTCACGTTTTCGAGGAGCCTGGAGCCTCATAACCTAATAACCACAGAGAAAGAACAGGCGTACAATCTTCACCTTGGAGATGGCATACAGGAAAGTGACATTTCTGAACATCTTACCAGTCTGCTGAATGTGACACACATCAAAATAACTATCATTATAGACGAATAATGCAAATGCCCTGGACAGATAGATAGAGCAATGAGGATGTCTTGAAAGAAACTGACTCATGAAGAGAACTGATTGCTTACATATGAAAGAAACAGTCTGCTTTCTTTCAGTTATCAAGATGCTGTCGAAGAATGCCGAGAGTTCTTATCTCTCCAGCTCGCATCCTGGATTTCGCCTCGCATTCTGGGACAAACGAAATGGAGAGCCTCGTATCCTGAAAAAGAACCGCCCCCCGCCTCATCCTCTCCCGTCCAAAAACCCCAATAAAATCCTACACTAGTCTCTGGAGATTTCACTGTATTACCTAATGATCAAGATAACCCCACCCTTTTATTATCCGTAGTATAAAATTATTGACGAAATTTTTTTTTTTATGAAATCGACGAGTGATAAAAAAAGCCATGGACAGAAAGAAAAAAAAAAGAAATGAAGATATCTTGAAAGAAACTGAATCATGAAGAGAACTGATTGTAAAGAGTCAGACTGCATTCTTTGGTAATGTGGTGAGAAGGAGAAAACTGGAGTACATCTGACAGTAAGAAAGCTGGAGGGGAGGAGAGTAAAAGGAAGACCGACCGAGAGAAAGGATGCTGGAAGAAGAATTAATCGTGTCAATGTACCTGCAGTGACTGACTGATTTTCAACCCCACTAGGACCGCGCAATCAGCGATTAACACCCGGCGACACAAAGTACCATCATTCGGATTAGAATCCTCAAAAGGTAAGTAACCGAAATCCAGTTCGACCGTAACATTTTATTAGGGTCCCAGACAATTACAACGTAGACTGAAGTCCAGCAGGGGTGAGCGCTTTAATATAGAACAAACTGTGTCCCATTTCATGACATGTTGCTAGAATGAGCGGGCAGTAAACGGTGTGAGGTCCTCTGTATATAAAGGATTCTTGAGATTTTGTACCATAACATTTTTTGAAGACGTTCTTCGACGTAAAAACGTCCAGAAGGGAAAAATGGTAGAATATATTTTTTGCCATGAAACCATCACAATGAACCAGGTTAATTGTGGTGGATATGGCATAACACTAAAACGCATATTCTCGTGCGCCATTTGGATAATAAGGACAATAACGCGTCGCCATCTTACAGGATTGCTAGAATCTAAGATTCTGTATGCAGTTGTTTCCCCCCCCCCCCCCCTGCCTTTTTTTCACCTCGCTCCCCTCAGTTGGATAAGACGGTTCTTTAATTTATATGTTTTATATAAGGTGTGACAGTTGTAACTAAGTTCGCAAGGTTTTTTTCTCTCATACATATCCACGACAGATCCACTACACATGACTGATTTGCCGCCAGTTTATTTTGCATTCTTAGTCTGCTTCATTAATGACTACATTATTTGCGTGTTTTTCTTCCTTTGAGTTTATGTGTGATTCTTTGCAATATTTTTCTGAAACTTATCACTAGCTAGAGAAAGAGATACTTTCAACCAGTGCTGCATTTAGGCATAAGCTAAATAAATCACAGCTTAGGGCCTCACAATATGCAAGGGCCTCGATAAATTTATATTAAATATAATAACTAAGAATTAAAATTAAATTATTATTATTAAATATAATGTTAATGCTATTTTCTTTTTATATAGCTTTTTAGAGGATTATATAATATCATGTATGTGATTTCGCAAGCACACAGTCTTTTTTCTTTAGCTTACTGAAGACTAATGCAAAAATACTTCCACTGTTCATATATTTAAAAGGTGTATATATTTTAGTTCTCCGAGATTAGCTTATGTCCCAGGGCTTTAAACAGCTTAGGTAATTGTCAAGTCTAAATACTTTCCTGCTTTCATGCATCCCGTGACCAGAGCCACGTTCTGTGATGAACCTGCTAATTGATTGATCTGTTAACTTTGAATCACTTACCTCCAGAACCACAAACCAGGCCAGCAGTCCAAATCAACAGAACACAGTACAAGTGTTTTAGAGGTTCCATGATTAATGAGTATATATCTCTGGCCAGCTGATGAGACAATGTGTGGTGATAAACAGCGAAGCACCTGTTAGGTCGTAGTTTGCTTCTATCTACAACATCGGTCACGGCAGGACGTGGCTGTTTTATGAAGCCCAGATTATCTCCCCCCACAATTTCAAATATAAATAAAACAGCTAAAATAAGTCTGCAGGGCAGATAGAATTATCTACCAGTTAAATAACGTAAACATCACTGATTATGAACTTTCTGGCGAAAGCAGACGTGGGTCGTTTTTATCCATAGAGAAAAAAAACGAATGTTTCTTCCAAATAGTGCATCAAAATTGTTAATATATCATTAAGTATATACTTAGTGCAAATGCTTTTAAGTTTATTATGGATTAAAAAACAGCAATCTTTTTTATATTAATATAATGCAAATAATTTTTTTAACCGCTGTGGTACAAATACCAGACGTTCCACCGCTGGCTTGTACATTCCCTTTACATCTAAAACGTGAGTCATGTTGGTCTCAATTTAAAATAAAAGGAGTGGGTGGGTGGGGAGTCGTTCATACATAGCTTCACAATTTGATTTATTTTTGCGGAAATGTCTAGTGATATAGTCGCAGAAAGGAACGACCCTGCTATCTCGACTAGCTTTCCGTTCCACTGATACGAAGCTAGACATGAACGGACTTTGTGGTTGCCTGACCAGATTGGGAGTCAACCGTGTGGAGAAACCAGAGCTTCAGCCTCTCACATATCTTGGCTGGAATGTGGAATCCTGCTAGGTAAACACGCGCAATGAATATGAAAAGAGGATCAGTCTGAGAGTGGGGATACATTAGGGTAGTTTTTGTTTTGTTAATTGTATTTTGTGCAATTTAGTTGTTTCGCCGCTGGAATTAGGCTGTATGAAAACAGAATGCATTTCAATTAAAAAATTGACAGACGAAAAAAAAAAATAATAATAATCACTAAACAATATCTAGCTCGTGTACTCAAATACAAAGCCCAGAGTCGTGTGTGATTTGAGTTTCATTGAGTCAGCTCCGCAGTTAGAGTCCCCCCCCCCCCCCCCCCCCCCCCCCATGTTTTATGTTCTCGGCAACAAGCACAAATGTGGAAATTCTTTTTTTAAACAGTCCGTGACACTCTGTCTCGTTTACATTCAGTCAGTTCCGACACAGATGATCTTAAATGTCATGATACCAAACTGTTGGTATCATTTTTCTAGGCCCCCCTTTGCCTCTTTCCCCTCCATCTTTCCCACCGTCTCGAGATTGCTCCGACTCATGACATGAACAAATAATGTTTATTGTCTCTTTCTGATCTGGGCGATCGAGATTCTTTGTGTGTAATTTCTGTCAATATATCTTCATTACTCTTTTCATTTGTCCATCGTCTTTTCATCATTCGTTTATAAAACCAAATCCCCACCCCTTCCACATAATTTCTCACTAATCGCCCAACTTTCCATGATTCACCTCCGTATATCAGGATAAGATTTATATAGCTCTTGATAATTCTCTTTCTCATGTCAATGCACTTTCCCGCGCCCCACACCAAGCCCTTTTTTTTCCATCCTGCCCCTCCCCCCTCCCCCCCCCCCCAAAAAAAAAGTTTGCATAGAATATTATTTATTTTGCTTGAGCTAGGAAATCCTTCATTTCTCTTTAACAGTATGAGACGCCGCAGATTTTTCACAGTCCTGTCTCTGTTTGCCCTCAACTTTAACACGGAAGATCACCTTTCAGAGTGTGTTGAGACGGTTGCCAAAGCAGAACACCAAACAAACTTATTACGTTATTTTTTGCTTTGTATTCCCTAGTGATACATAGACGTTTAAGTCACACAAAGACATCGAATCGTTTTCCATCTCCTGCACTCCCCTTTCTTCAAAAATGACCTTGGCTCCCAGGTCGACCTAGCCTGGTTGACCATATCACCCATCTTGTGCCGATTGGTCTATAAAATATAGGTCTAACCCTATATGCCCTATAAGCCTAAAGGCTTGGAACAGGGTCCTTTACTTTTTTTTTTTTTTACTTCAAGGCCTCGACATATGTGGCTTCGGCATTGCAAACGCGCTTCGTAATTCCGAGTTTGATCTCACCTGCAGGAGATTTGGC